ACACAAAACGAAGCGGGAGAAGAAAGTGGCGTGCGAGGAGCTTCTCGACTTCTTGGGCGCTAGATGCCAAGAAATGAAACAGTGTTTAGAGTCTGTGGAGGAAAAAGCGTACCCCATTTCATGTTTTAAAGAATGCCTTCCACATGATGGGGATGTAAGCAAAATCAGAAGGCTTAGCTTGCTGGACTCGTGAGCCAGAGCCTCAACTATGGTGGCCTATGATTCAACGTTTCTTCATATTGTTTACAGTTATACATCTACTACAAACTGTAGTCTGATTCCTACTTGAATGACATGAGAAGCGTAACGTCGTCAGATGAACAGGAACGACACTCTGTCGAAACCCGTTACCATGTTAGCTCCTGATCCCGCGCCTCGAGTGGATCATTCATCATCCACACTACCATCCATTAAGATCAAAACAAAAAACCAGCCATTCAAATTACAACAGCTCTGTCGCCATAGCTAGTGAGGTATTGCCTTCATGAACTTCCAGGCAGAAACAGAGAGCAGCGGCATATCCTTCCACCCAATCATCAAGCTCTTGCGATCCAGCGCAACCAGGTACGAACCCGCGAATGGCGAGCTGCGAACCATCAGGTTCGCGTGCTGCAGGCCCAACCCTCGAACCGAAATCTCCAGCATACCGAACCGGGCGAAGTACTTTCTCCAGACACCAATCTTCACATCTCTAACGACCCTCTTCTCCCCTTCCGCCACCAGGATGTTCCTGATCCGGTCGTTCAAGTACCACGACTCCATCACCGCCCTCGCCTCCTCTTTCTCTTCCATACAAGTAGCTAGGCAGTCGAAGTACGCGCCGGCGGTGAACAGCGTCTCGACGAACCGGTGGCCGAAATCGGGTGCGTTGTGGTTCGCCTCCAGCTCGATGACCACCATCACCCGTGGCCGGATGGACCGGATCAGCTTCATCATCGCCTCCAGCCGGTTGGGCTTCGCGACCATCCGGCTAAGGGCGTATTGTGAAAGCACCACCGTCGCTTCCCTGGGCTCCAGGCCCAGCTTGTCCTTGTGGGCCGCCGACGGCGGCTCCCAGATCCGGACCACGTTGAACGAGAACGGCAGCCCAATCCCTCTAGCAAACCCTACCAGCCTCCGACCCGACCCGTGGATGAACCGCTCCTCCGTCGCGTCGTGCGCCAGAGCCGTAATCCGCAGCATCTCGATCGAATTGGGGGAACTCGACAGAGCCTGCATCAGCGCGATCATCATCACGCCGGAGCAGATCCGGAGCTCGACCACGTGGATCCGCTTCTCCCCGTCGAGATTCTCCATCAAGATCTGGACGGCGGCGAGCTGGGAGGCGCTGTAGAACGGCACGCTGTTCCGGTACTCCATCACGCTCTTGTCCGGGAGCGTCACCGCCGCGTCCGATACCAACGGCTTCCGACGGTCGTCTTCCGATTCGCCGCCGCGGCTGGTCTTTTGGGCTTCGATCCGCTGGCGGAGGGCGTTGCAGAAGTAGTACCCGACCCGCTGGACCGGGCTGCCGGTCTGAGAAGCTAACCGGGCGCAGAGGTCGAGCACCTGGTGGGCGAGGTCGAATTTCCCCTTCCCGACGTTCTCCGCGCACTCGAGGAGGTACTCCATGAGCTCCACGTTGTTGGATTCCTCCTGGGTGAGTCCGGTGAGGAGGTGGGGGGCGTCGATTCCTTGCGCCGGCGACCTGGATTGTAAGATTCTGGCTCCGGCGAGCTTTATGATTTCGTTGGTCCAGAACTCTCGGGTGCTATCTTCGCGGTGAATCTCGCCAGGGGAAGAGGAGAGGCGGTGTTTGAGGATGTCGAACCAGGCGCCGGGATCGAAGATCTGCTTCTGCTGCGGCTGGTTGTCGTCGTAGTTAAGCTTCTCATCTTCTTCTTCGTATTCTCCCTCTTCGGAGCCACTGTGGGAGTCCATGATTCCGAAATCGGGGAAGGAGCCCTCATCGAAGAACAGGCTTGGTGTGAAGGCTGGGGAAGCTGAAGCATGGAGCTGATTGATGTTCTCCATTTTTAAGGTGTGCAATGGAATTCCCATTCGATTCCGTACTCAACCACCCACTATTTATAGTCGTCGGACTGCCGAATAATTAGCAAGAAGGACAAGAAGGAAGGACAAAGAAAACAACCGGTGCTGATGGAGTGCACTCGGCCGGCCGACGGATTCCCTTTTCCGGGGGATGACGACAATTGATTGTGCTACGAGTTAACAGCAGATTGCAGACGGTGAGATTTATTTGCCTTTCTATGGAACGCGACAATTTTTCTCTTTTTTAGTTTCGCCGGCCAACCTTAACTGGTTTTGGGCGCTCCTTGGGATGGGAAAAAGGCTCTGGTTGGATTTTTTCTAAATCCAAATTCTAACTTAACAAGTGGTAGAATTTTGTTTTTGCAAAATTCAATTACGAATTTACGATCCATCCTTAAAAATGGGTAAAATTCACAACCGATCTAAAACCTGTCAGCACTCAGCACTGGGTTCGCTGGTAGATCTATGTGGTGGTCACTTCGGATCATGATCAAGCTCTGCTCAGGGTTCAAACAGGGATGGACAACGGAAAATCGGTATTTAGGTATAATTGTCCCATTTTTTTAGGGTTACAATGGGTACTCAAATACCCGTATTATTTATTACCGAATGTGATATGGGATTGAAATTTCAATATTGGATACCCACGGGTTACCCGCTAATATCCGTTTGCACAGTATGGGTGCCCATTATACCCAATTCAAGGACACCCGTTATACTCAATTCAAGGGTTATATAACTATCAAGGGTACTCGTTGTACTCTTTGTTTCCAATAGCATATAAAAATGGATCACCCCACTTCGTACCTACACAAATATTATCCGACCTGAACAGTACATAATACATATTGAGGTAGCCACACCCATCTCATTGCCATTCGTGTTCAATTTACATCATATTCGCTCTCTTGTTAATATTGTTTTCCTTCTGGTTTGGTGATCCGCTGTTTGAGATTTTATTCGTATTCCCTCTCATCTTTCGTCAGATCTTTGTTTGGTACTGAGAAAACCATAAATATTACCCTACCTGACCCGTACATAATACGTATTGAGGTATTGAGGTAACCACACCCATCTCATTGCCATTCGTGTTCAAATTGCATCCTATTCTCGTCTCTTGCTAATATTGTTTTCCTTTTGTTTCGGTTGTCTGCTGTTTGTGATTTTATCTGTATTCCATCTCATCCTCCGTCGGGTTTTGTTTGGTTTTGAGAATCCCAGGTTGGGACTGTTTCTTTTTTAGTATTTCCGGCTTGGACTGGTTTTTGTTTGCCTTTTTTATTCCTTTCTTTCTTCCGCCCCTTTTGCTAACCTGATAGTATTCCTAGTTTCTACAACTTTCCTACTTCTGCTGCCATCAAAGCATTTAAAATATTTTCTTTAGGAAAAGGACGTTTAGGGAGATATGTAGAGTAAATATTTTAATTTAGCCTTTGATGATGACACTGCCAATGGCGATTTTGGATCTCTTTTATTGGTAGAAAGAGTGATCGCAGAAGCACCTATATCATATATGAAATTGAACGTTCATGGAAGTGTCCAACATCTACTGCCTAACGGTAGGGTCGCACACATCAAAAGAATGTTGTTCAAAAGTAGAACAATGACCCCCTATTCGCGAGGTAATCAGCGGTGAAGGTCGCCTCCATGTCCACATGATTGACCTGCACCTCCCAATCGAGGTTCATAAATTGTTTCACAGAACTAGCAAGAAAGTCGTGCCCGTGATCATCATCGCTTCGGTTCTTGATATATAGTTGCCAGTGTCGTGTTGGAGTCAAGGTTGGTATCCACCTTCCTATAGCCTTCCTTCAACGCCAGTTTTAGCCCCTCGATAGCTCCCTTCAACTCTGCACAAGTAATAGAGCAAACACCGAGATTGCAAAGTGAATGCCCTGCTGCATTTTCCAAGGTTGTTACGAATAAGCTCACATGCAGCAGCTTTCCCGGAGTGGGTGTGGACTGATCCATCGGTCTGGATTTGCATTCACCCTTCCTCGGGTGGTTCCCAACCAATCGGTTTGTTGAGAGTGATGTTCGCAGCCACAACATTTGTCTTTTGGGTCCAATCCCGAGCTTGTCTGACGATGTTAAACCAAGCTCGAATCCGAAAAGTTAGGTTATGTTCAGAGTATCTTCTTCCCTCCATGACTTCTTCATTCCTTTGTTTCCGTAAGTGCCAACACACGATTCCAAACTCAACATCTTTCTCCTCATCCATAATATTAGCAAGTAAATAGTCTTCGAATGGATAATCGCGAGGTTTTTTGTCCGCTATTTTCTCTCTAAGCTTCCTCCATATGTCCTTCGCATTGCAACAGTTCCTTAAGATATGTTCAATTGATTCCTCCACCTCCTCAAAACGCCTGCAGCTGCTGTTAGTCTCGATCTTCCTTCTTACTCGTTCATTGTTGGTCATCCGCCGGTCATGACACACACGAGGCAAAGGAAATGTTTGATCCTGCTCGGGCCCTTCCATCTACAGAGAGTTTTCCAGCTCTACTCAACTTCTGTATCCTCAAAGTCAGCCGCCAGGGAGTAAGCCGATCTCATCCCGAAGCACACCCGTCTTGCTCCAATCCCCAAAATGGTCTTATCTTCTTCGAGCGTTGGCTTATGTGGCTCCACACCTACAATAAGATCAAGAATAACATGTCCTAGCTATATTTCTTAGTGAACTAAGCTATTGTAAATCCAAACTTTGACACTCTTAGCCACTAGATGCATCACCGAGATATGTTTAATTTCATGCACGTCTAAAAGTCAAGGAACATTCCATTCATTGCTTATAATCAGATTTATGAACCCTATTGTACTATTCATTAGCACTTATGCCTGTGTGCACTTATGCAAAATATGGACATGACACTATAACCATCCATTAACATCAAACAAAAAGCCACCCGATTTGTTTGTTTCTTGTTGCCTGCCATGGTAAAATATAAAATCCCAAATCAACAACGGCAGAGCTAGTGCGGTATCGCCTTCATAAACTTCCAGGCAGAAACAAAGAGCAGCGGCATATCCTTCCACCCAATCATCAAGCTCTTCCGATCCAGCGCCACCAGGCAGGAACCGGCGAACGGCGAGCTGCGAATCACCAGGTTCGCATGCTGCAGCCCCAGCCCTCTCACCGAAATCTCCAGCATCCCGAACCGAGCAAAGTACTTCCGCCAAACCCCAATCTTCACATCTCTAGCGACCCTCTTCTCCCCTTCCGCCACCAGAATGTTCCTGATCCGGTCGTTCAGATACCGCGACTCCATCACCGCCCTCGCCGCCTCGTTCCCCTCCATACAGCTCGCCAGGCAGTCGAAGTACGCGCCGGCGGTGAACAGCGTCTCGACGAACCGGTGGCCGAAATCGGGCGCGTTGTGGTTCGCCTCCGTCTCGATCACAACCATAACCCTCGGCCGGATGGACCGGATCAGCTTCATCATCGCCTCCAGCCGGTTGGGCTTTGTGACCATCCGGCTGAGCGCGTACTCGGCGAGCACAACCGTCGCTTCCCTGGGCTCCAGGCCCAGTTTGTCTTTATGGGCCGCCGAAGGCGGCTCCCAGATCCGGACCACGTTGAAAGAGAACGGCAGGCCCATACCTCTTGCGAACCCTACCAGCCGCCGACCCGACCCGCGGATGAACCGCTCCTCCGCCGCGTCGTGCGCTAAAGCGGTGATCCGCAGCATCTCGATCGAATTGGGGGAACTCGCTACGGCCTGCATCAGCGCGATCATCGGCATGCCGGAGCAGATCCGGAGCTCGATCACGTGGATCCGCTTCTCCCCGGCGACGTTCTCCATCAAGATCTGGACCGCGGCGAGCTGGGAGGCGGTGTAGAACGGGACTCTGGTGCGGAACTCCATCGCGCTCTTGTCCGGGAGCGTGACCGTCATGTCGGATTCGATCGGCTTCCGATGATCGTCTTCTTCCTCCAATCCGCCGCCGCGGCGGGTTTTCTGGAGCTCGATCCGCTGGCGGAGGGCGCTGGAGAAGTAGTACCCGACCCGCTGGATCGGGTTTCCGGTTTGGGAAGATAGCCGGGTGCAGAGGTCGAGCACCTGGAGTGCGAGTTCGAATTTCCCCTTCCCGACGTGCTCGGCGCACTCGAGGAGGTACTCCATGAGCTCCACGTTCTTCGATTCCTCGTTGGTGAGTCCGGTGAGGAGGTGAGGGACGTCGATTCCTTGCGCCGGCGACCTGGATTGGAGAACTCTGGCCCCGGCCAGCTTTATGATTTCGTTGGTCCAGAACTCTCTGGTGCAGTTTGTGCTCGATTCGGGGTTGATCTTGCCAGGGGAAGAGGAGAGGCGGTGTTTGAGGATGTCGAACCAGGCTCCGGGATCGAAGTCTTGCTTCTGCGGCTTGTCTTCTTCTTCTTCTTCTTCGTCTTCTCCCTCGTCGTCGTCTTCGGAGCCACTGTGATACTCGAGCTCCGCCATGATTCCGAAATCAGGGAAGGATCCATCATCGAAGAAGAGGTTTGGTGTTGAGGCTGGGGAAGCTGAAGCGTGGAGGTGATTGATGTTGTTCTCCATTTCTGGCAATGCAATATTGTTCGATTCTCTACTCACTCGCTATTTATAGTCGTCGGGACCTGCCGGTTATTTAACAAGAAGGACAAGAGGCAAGGACAAGAGGTAAGAACAAGAAAACAACCGCTGTTGCTGCAGTGCACTCGGCCGGCTGACGGATTCCTTTTTCCGGGGATGACGACAATTGATTGTGCTACGAGTTACAGCAGATTGCAGACGGTGAGATTTATTTGCCTTTCTATGGAACGCGACAAAAAAAAAAAAAATTTAGCTTTGCGTCGCGTTTGCAGACTTGCAAGTGACTGATCATGGGAGAAGGTTTGTTCATTCGGCCTACCTTGACAGGGTTTTGGGCGCTCGATGGGCCGATTGGATTTTTCTAAGTACGCGACTCACCTCCAGATTCGGTTGATTTGTATACATGTTGGAAATCGGATAGAATGAATTGTGTAACCAACCCGTACCAAATCAAGTTGAACCGAAACAAACTGATGTGGTGGTTGAGATAAACCAATCTGCCCAACTGTTGTGGTCGAACCGATGCAATGCAATGGTCGGGGTATAACTACTCACCTACGCACTCTCTCATTTTTTTTATAAATAGCACCAAACCCCTATGGTTTTAGATATGAGAATTTTCTTAATGAAACTCTGCCAAAATTCAAACTGATTTTTCTGGAGTCTTTTTCGAAAAGATAAGATCGAGTCGAGTGTGGTTCTCGTCGATTCGTTGGGATTTGTTGTTTTCCAGAGTTTGAGATATCGCTACGCTGGAAAATGTATGTCCTTTTCTGTCATGGAATGAGATGATTCATTCTGTAACTTTGAGTACTAGAGGGGAATAAAATTCGTTTGGCAGACACAGTGTATAGTCTATCGAATAGGACGATTATATACGTTTACATGTTTACTCAAAATAGTATACATGAACATTCTCATAACATTTACAACACGAGTATTACTCGATCTAACCCGTACTACGAAACAGGTACCCCACCCACTCCATTTCCATTCGTGTTCCATTTACATCCTATTCTCTGTCTCTTGCTAATATTGTTTTCCTTTTGTTTTGGTGGTCGGCTGATTGTGATTGTATTTGCATTCCCTCTCATCTTCCGCCGGGCTTGGTGTAACTCTTCCGTCGGGTTTTGTTTGGTTTTGAGAATCCCAGGTTGGGACTGTTTTTATTTTGTATTTCCGGCTTGGACTGCTTTTGTTTGTCTTTTTTTCTTCTCTTTCTTTCTTCCGCCCTTTTGCTAACCTGATAGTATTCCTAGTTTCTACAACTTTTCCTACTTCTGCTGCTTATATTTTATGAATGATAATGATAGAAGTTTTAATTTATCTATCAAGGGGGAGAAAATATAGAAAGGAAAATGATAATATCAAGAGCTTTTCTCCCATTTATGAAAAAAAAAAGAAAAATACAACAATTGTGACACTTGTCTATCAATTACTTACTTACTATTCTTATAATCGAAGAGATAATTGCGAAGTAGTTTCGATAAAGATAATTGAAGTATCGAAATTAGTCGAGATTACTTGGGATTGTTTACTTAACTGTGTAAAATCGCTGGAATGATGTTTTCATGATATTTCTATAGCATATACCGATTTAAATGGCAGTGGACTGTTTATGATCGATCGACGATACGATACAGTTTAATAATCCTTGCAGGTGGATCGCAAAATGGACCTCGTCACATAAACAAGTCATCTCACGATGCTAGTGTGGCATTGCCTTCATGAACTTCCAGGCAGAAACAAACATCAACGGCGTATCCTTCCACCCAATCATCAAGCTCTTGAAATCCAGAGCAACCAGGCAGGAACTCGCGCAGGGAGACTCTCGAATCACCATGCCAGCATGCTGCAGCGCCAGCCCTCTAATGGCGATCTCCAGCATCCCGAACCGGGCAAAGTACTTCCTCCAAACCCTCAGCTTCACATCCCTAACAACCCTCTTCTCCCCTTCCGCCACCAGGATGTTCCTGATCCTGTCGTTCAGGTACCACGACTCCACCGCCGTCCTCGCCGCGTCTTTCCCCGCCATGCACTCCGCCAGGCAGTCGAAGTGCCCGCCGGCGGTGAACAGAGTCTCGACGAATCGGTGTCCGAAATCCGGCGCGTTGTGGTTCGCCTCCGTCTCGGTCACCACCATCACCCGCGGCCGGATGGATCGGACCAGCTTCATCATCGATTCGAGCCGGTGGGGCCTCGCGATCAGCGGATTGAGCGCGAATTCGGCTACCACCACCGCGGCTTCCTTCGGCTCGAGATCCAGTTGATCCTTGTGCACCGCCCCGGCAGGGGAATCCCAAATTCGGACGATCTTGAAGGAGAACGGCAGCCCCATTTCCCGCGCGAACCCGACCAGCCGCTCGCCCGACCCGTGGATGAATCGCTCCTCCGATTCGTCGTTCGCCAGGGCGGTAATCCGGAGCATCTCGATCGAATTGGTAGGACCCGACGAAGTTAGAGCCTGCATCAGTGCGATCATCGGCAGGCCGGAGCAGATCCGGAGCTCGATCACGTGGATCCGCTTCTCTCCGACGACGTTATCCATCATGATCTGGACCGCGGCGAGCTGGGACGCCGTGTAGAACGGCACGCTCCTGTGGAATTCCACCCCGTGCTCGTCCGGGAGTGTCACGGCCGTGTCGGATTCCAACGGCTTCCGATCATCGTCGTTCTGCTCTGCCTCTGCTCCGACCTCCTCTGTTCCTTCTTTCATCCTCTGCCGCAGGGCGTTGCCGAAGTAGTACGCGAGCCGCTGGACCGGGTTCCCCGTCTGCGAAGCCCAGCAGTTGCAGCGGCCGAGGAGTTCGATTGCGCGGTCGAACTCCCCCTTCCCGACTTTCTCCGCGCACTCGAGGAGGTGCTCCATGAGCTCCACGTCCTTGGCTTCTTCCTGGTTAAGTCCGCCGCCGCCATCGCCGAGCATCGCCGGAACATCAATCCCATCAGTGGAAGACCTCGATTGAATGATTCTCGCCCCTGCCAGCTTGATAATCTCGTTGGTCCACAATTTCCGGCTACCCACTGCGGCGGCCGATTCAGGGGTTTTGGCGGCGGCAGCGGAGGAGGAAGAAAGGCGGTGCTTGAGAATGTCGAACCATGCTCTGGAATTGAAGACTTGCTCCTCCTCCTCCTCATAGTTGAACTTCTTTGATTCTTCTTCTTCTTCTTCCTCTGCTTTTACCTCCTCGTGGTGGAATTCAAGCTGATCCGCCATATCCATGATGCCGAAATCCGGGTAGGAGTCGACATCGAAGAGCACCGGAAAGGGATTGATGTTCTCCATTTCTGGATATGGAAGTGAAGGGATGCGATCCATTTGTTGTTTGACAAAAAAAAAAACCCAAAGTCAGCTCGCCATTTATAGTTGTGGGATTGATATTTCGATGATTCTTTGCCGGATATTGAGAGGGAATAGAGGTGAAGAGGAAGAAGACAACCAGCTACCCTTGCTGCCGGCCGGAAGGATCCGCTTCTTATCAACGATGATGATGAGATCACAGTTTGTTCCCATCGGGTTTGTTTGACTGTGCTTAGCCGATGCTCACTTGCTGTAGAACGTACGACTCCTGATGCGGTTTTTGGATGGGTAACTTACTGTGATTTTAATATTTTACACTAGATTGTACCCCGGTCCGTTGGCCGGTTTCATTATAATAAAAATAATTAACAAAAGTTCAAAATTTAAATTTCAGTAATCTCTTCTATTTTTTTGTTCTTGTCATGATTTTATGTGAATGTCGTGCGAATTAACAAACTATTATAATTTCCTAATTTTTACCATTAACAAAGTTAAAATATTCAATTGCTGAAATTTAGCATCCATCATAAAAATTACTAACTTTTGCCTTCTATGCAGATTCTTACTTTCAAAAGATAGGACTTGTCCAAAGGTGTATTAACTCATATCAAACATATAAACACAATTCATATGTACTCCAAAATAACCGGTATCATCTTTTATATCATCAAGAATCTTCATCATTATTCTTAAATTTGTCAACTTTTCGAAATCAACATGTAATCGCTTTTTGCCTGAGTAACTTTGAAAATCTTAAATCCAGCGAGAACATACTTATATGTGTGGGAGGCCACTTCTAAAACATTTTATGGTTCCCTTGAAGCTCAAACTTTTTAATTAAATTTTTTTATTTGTACATATATGTGAGATGAAAGCAAGAATATTAGTAAACGTCTAATCGATTAGAAATAAAAATTTTGACCAATTTTTCTTAGATCATGCTAAACATATTTGTTTATTTCAATGAATTGATTTAGTGATAATGTGGAAATGAGAACATCCGTTACACTATGCTCTTGAACCAAAAAACAAATAAAAACGGTTAAAGACGTAAGCATATTTTACTTATTTTTATATTTATTTTTAATTCCAAAATTTTGGTGGACTGCGGGGTGGAGGAACCGGAAAATCCAAGTTTGCCTACAATAGTTCATGCATTGAATATTCAATATTGGGATGCATAAAGACTGAAAAATCCTTCCTTACTTTGCGGTGAGGCCAGGAAAAAGTAAATTGAAGATGGCTCCAGCGAGAACATGCATATATGTATGGGAGGATTGTAGGGGGAAAAAAACTTAGGAAGGGGTTCGATTACCCGTATAGAGTTGGCTGGAACTGTGCGTGGTTTGAAGCTCGTATGAGAATCGGGAGCTAGGAAAGTTCTTTATGCATACGAAAACTGTCGTTAGCCAAGTTTTTCTCATTGAGACTGCAACACCTCAACATCCACATTACACTTGCGTGAGCCGCGGAAATCCGTCGTTAGCTCATGAGACTGGCAGGTTAGGATTGAGCATGTCTACCGAGAGAGACAGGAGGCCAATGTAATTGATGATTATCCTGCCTCTTTAGGTCACCTGTTTCCCGGTAGGAGTTCACATTTTTTTTAGGCACCTAATAGTTTTCTTGCTTATTGGTTGTATTTTGATCACCTTGAAGTGCAAACTCCTTGTTTAATTCATGAATAAAGATTGTGGGTTCCGTTTCTTAGGGAGAAAAAAGAGTGTAGAGAGAAGTGTTGTTTAGCCCTCTTAAATACTAGATTAATTGGTTTGATAATAAGTAAAAGATTAATAATTTGGGCAATGTCTATTTTTTACCCAAACCTTTTTCAGATTCTTTTATTTTAACCAAACCTATTGAATTCCTAAAAATTATCCAAACGTTAACTCTCCATCAACTTTTCTGTTAGTAATGCTGACTAAGTATGACCATAATGAGTTGACTTCCTACGTGGCGGTCAGAATACCATCATTTACTATTTTTAATAAAATGATTATCAAAAAACAAAACAAAATCCCACCTCTCACGTGGACGAAATAAGTAACGGTAACAGAATGAATGCCCAGACTTTGATAAATTATAATACGTTTGGATAATAAATAGAATTTCTATAGGTTTGGTTAAAATAAAAGAATCTGACAAAGGTTTGGGTAAAAAATAGACATTGCCCTAATAATTTTTGTTTTGTGTGATGTAAGAACCTGACCTTCATATATGATAGATGTTTTGGTAGTATGCTAAAAAGTAAAATGAAATTTGGGGTTTCATTTCTTATTAGATGATCAATAGTGTCATTTCGTTTGTACAATCCCCGGACCAAACAGACCCATTTGGATCGGACACAAATTGGAACTAATACAAACCCAATCCAATTACAAAACCATTAAAAGTACATATAAGTTTATTTGAGTCCAATCCAATATTCATATGAGTCTTGACAATTAAATTAAATTACTCAACGATTCGACTCATTGTCATCTCTAGTCTCTTTTTTTTTTTTTTACGGGTACTTGTAAATTGATTAAGTGAAGGGAACAGTTACATCGTCCTGGTGGAGCTGGTCTACAAGGAAGATCGACTCCATATCGAGCCACACTTCTCTGCTATCCTACTTAGTTTCGCTATGAGTCATGATATGTGCAGCATTATTGAGATTTCTTCTAACAAGATGAATACTACCCAGGTTTGATCGTGCCTCATGTAAGTTAAGCTACTTTTTGGCCCTTTTATAGGATAATTTTTTCTTTACACTTATTTGTAATGAGTTAATAATTTTATCTATTTGTGTTCCATCCATTTTAATACTACACAAGTGGCTTGCATGAGAGGGAAGGTACAAGAAGAAGTAAATATTGTCTAAACATGTAGAGACGAACATATATGAAAACAGAAAAGGCCTCCATTCCTCACCTCTCAAATAGCGGCAGAATCGAACGGCAACAGAAAAGAAACAAGATGTGGTTATATTTAGTGTTAAACGATCGCTTAAGAGTTTTCTCCCCACTTGATTTTTGTTAATTTACTTACTATGTTAGAAACAAAAAGGACAACAAATGACGTTTCTTATTCCTCTTATCAATTTTCTGAGATGCCAACATCAAACTAAACAAGAAAAAGAAGACGTAGTTATCGACAAGCAAACACTTTTTCATGATTTTTAAGAATATATATATATATATATATATATATATTGTCATAGGTACTAGGTAGGTTATTATATTTAAAATTTTGGTTTTATTTTGATTTTAAAATTTATATTGTGATTTTGCAATATGTTATAATAATCGAAGTGTACTTGCCAACTTAAGCACTCAAGTGGTTTGGCTAAACCTAAAGCATTTGAAAATTCGGTCAATCTATGCGAACTTTTCTCACCGTTTACATAAATTAAATAGTGTATTTAAAAATTATGTTTCTCTAATAGGGCTGAATAGTTTGATATGGTCATTCGGAAAAACCATGGATCAAACTGCATTGTACAGTCTAATTCTGATTATAGACCAATAAGATATAAGAATGGTTTGGTGTCGACTGTATAATACTTGATTTGGTTCTTGATCTGTATTTCAATTCCTCAGTATGAACCGTACACTGTATGTATGATCCAGTCTGGATTGAACTGCATTGTTTCCCCCTAAACTTTATCTGTTTAAATATAAACTTAAATTTGAGAAAAAAAATTAAGAATTAATAGAGAAAACAAATACCTTTTATATACTAGCTTATGACCCGGCCAATTGGCCGGGTAGTATAATCAATATTGGATATTTTTCGGTTGTGTAACAATATGATCCGCTTGAAATTGGACCAAATCATAATAATCACGGTTTTTAATTATATTGAAAATTTTAGGATCAAAATCTGATAATTTCAATTCAGTTTGGTAAGATCTAAACCACAATCCGGCCCACGTTTTTAATATTCACAAAAAATAATGAAATCTAGATCTGGACCATCTTATATTAGGTCAAGTTTGGCCTGCAACAAATGCCGCATTTGCTTGGTTCGATACAATGTGGATTGTGGACCAAAAGAAAGGCACCCTATGTATCTTTGGTATGATCATTCCTACTCAATCCTTTCTCGGTGTAACTTTTGGTTCGTCACTTATATTTATTACTTTCAGGTATGCATGAAGCATTATTGGGTAATTAAAATTCTTTGACACTCGGGGTGTAGACTTTAAAATTGAATGACAATTAATAGACTTGTGAATATCTTCCCCAATCTTAACTTATAAAAACAAAGTGAAGTTAATAATAACTGATTACAATGACTATCAAACGAACCACCCACATCGACATACATACGCAAAAAAGTCGAAGGTCATAGGCTAAATTTTCCTTAATTCGGTCGACCTCGAGACCAACACTCGATCTTCATTTCACATAAAAAAAGGATGGATAAATGGATAGAGCACTTTACTCTTCTGTCTGGTCGACCTCTTTCTATAAATGGTCGACCATTTTGGTAATGACCACAATCAAATGTTCGACCTCATTACATTTACGGTCGACCAATTTGCTTCAGACTACAATGAAAAGGGCGACCCATGTTTTATTGCGGTCAACCGGTAATGTCACAACTTAACTCAAAACGGTCGACCACTATATTTTAAAGGTCGACCGTCATAAGTCATCATATTACCCACATTAGTGTATTCGGTCGACCGCGGTTAGAAATAGGTCGACCGAAAAGTGCATGTTACGGTGACATGCATGTCACCATAGGCGCACCCCTAAAGTTTACTAATTGCATGTTCAACTTACCTAAATTAATTAATATAATATAATAAGTGAAACTTGCTTTCGAATTACATAATATACGTGATCATAGGAAATAGACTTGTGCAAAACAAAAATCTTCAATATCTCACACACAACATGCTAGTATAGATAAACATTTTTTTTTTTTTGAAGAAACCAAATATGTAGAACCCAACTAAGCTATAGATTACATCAGTATTAAGTATTAACTTTGATTTGCAAAAATAAATATCAACTGAATGAATATCTAACATCACTGGTTAAGAGTCTTGAATGAGAATCTTTAGACTTTCAAGCATCTTCTCTAGATAAATGTCTCCTTGAGAGTCGTTTTAGTGCCAAAATCTCTAAAAGCTAGCTCTTTTCATTTCTCGAACAAATTGACTAAAAATGAAAATAAAATTTGGATCATATCAACTTTGATTAAATAAATGGTATGTGATGCTTGTGATTTTCCTTTGTTGTTGGGTCTATATATATCGGATCCAATTCTAGTATTAATCAAACTGTGTCACATCCAAAAATAATACTAAATGAAAAACTTCATGCGATGAAATAAAACCACTATACAATGATTTAACTAATTTTTCATATAAAAAATAATATTGGCACACCTTTTTTTCTTAAAGAGCGTGAATAGAAAGTAAATGAAAACTGCATCTATTATAAAGAATAATGGATTTCAGAGGCCTAAATTACACGTTTGGTCACTCAAATTATATAAAATTTTCATGTTTGCCACCCGAATTACTTTTCTTTCTAATTCGCCACTAACTTTACAAACCATTTCACAGTTAGTCACCGACCGTTAGTCTCTGTCAAATTCAGTTAACTCTGTTAGTTTTTTGATGACGTGGCAAACGGAACTGATGACTGGACCTTTAACTTAACGACATGTCAATTTAAAAAAATTAAAAATTCAAAAAAATTTATTTTACATTGGGATCGGAGTGGCCGCTACACCCTTTTCTTCTTCGCCCATTCCTTCATCGCCGGCTTCCCAAGAAGAATCCCCAACCCAAAAAAATCCACTATCCTGGGAGAAAATCAAGCTGAGCAATACGTATATGGCACCATAGTGCTCAAATATGGTAACAAATAAAAAAAAATCTCAGGCCACATGTTTGCGATTCAGATCGATGTTGAGGAGAGAACAACAACTCCCCTTTCGCGAGATCGAAGGCGGAGGTGGCTTCGGATTTCTTCGAGATACGGTAGGCGGGTCTGGATGAAAGGAGAAGAAGAAGGCAGTGGAGGTTGTGGCTTTTTTCTCGAGATGGTTGGAGGATCTAGAGGAACAGAGAGGAAGTATGGCGGGAGGGAGGGGATCGATCATCTCTCAATCTCTAGATCCAGATAAATCTGATTGTGGAGAAAGCCCAAACGCGCTGTTGTTATCGACGGTGACGAATCTAAAAGAAAGAACTCCCGCCGGTGGTGATTGTTGTTGTTGTTGATTGAGGGAGGGAGGGAATGAGTCGTTAATCGCCTGCCTCCGGGGTGAGTGCTACAGGTCGATGGAGGGAGGGTCGCCTATGTTCAAGGAAAAGGCGTTTGGGGAGAAGAGGATGGAGCAAGAAGACGTCGTTAGGGAGGTAGGTAGAGACTTTGGGCAAAGTCTAGAGAGGTCTCGGTGATGGTGGGGGGAACAGAGTCGCCGTCGGAGTAGTGGATATAGGGGCAATTAAGAATAAGGTCGACGTCGAGGAGATCGGGATGCGACTTCATAAATTCATCGGCGGGAGAGAGTTTGTGTCTTTACAGCTTATAGGTTCATTGACGATTCGTCTTCTAAATTCTGGATTCTTAGGGTTCGTGTTTGTGGATTTTGATTATAATGAATTTTGACTTCTTTCTGCTTCAATTAATTGTAGTATGTGTTGTGCTTTATTACCATTCTTCTCAATCTGAGGGTTTGTGTTTTCCAGTACAAGGCTGGGGTTGGGGAAGGCGAAGAAGAAGATGGGTAGGTGCCTAGGTGGAGCAACTCCTTTTTTTTTTTTTTACTTAACATGTCATTAAATTATTATTCCAGTCAGCTGTCCATTTGCCACGTCATCAAAAAACTGACAGAGTTAGTGAAGTTTAACGGAGACTAACGGCAGGTGACTAATGGTGAAACGATTTGTAAAGTTAGTGGCGAATCAGAAAGAAAAGTAATTCGAATGGCAAACATGAAATATTTATATAATTTGAGTGACCAAACGTGTAATTTAGCCGATTTCAGAGACAAAAAATTAAGAGGCCCGAGAAAATAGCTGTAGTGCGATTTTTGTGAAAGTATTTAATTACCTTTTTATCCCTAGATAAAAATAAGGAGAAGCCAACAAATTTGAAATGCTAAAAAGTAAATGAAAGTGTGCTATATATTATTGAAGGATTAAATAATGCATTACAAATTTACAATTTACAATCATCGTTTGTTTTGGGATATCCGGCTTGGAGTCTATAGAAGTTATTATCTTTAATACTATATATATATATATATATATAAATTGTATATTATTTATTCGTTTAAAGTTTTTGATTTTTATTAATGTCAAGTTGTTTCATTTCTTTTCATTCATTTGATGGTTCGTGTATTAAAAATATGCAAAACCCATATAACATATTTATGCGTATTTAATGAAATACATTATTAAAATGAATATTATTTACCCATTTATTTGTTTTGAAAAAATTGACTTCATATATGTTATGACTATCGACGTAATACTAGATGAAATATCAATTTATAGATGAAGTAAAATACTCATATGTATTTTATATGTACCTAATTTTTTTTCCAAATTTGGAGAGTTTCGAAAATACTCGGTAATTTATTTTAATGAAGAAAACAATATAGATACTAAGAATATATAAGACCTTTGTGGGTAAGATCACAAGATAGAAATAATAAGACAATAAAAGACCTTCAATTTTTCTTCTGCTAAGCAGGTTTCCCTTCTTGTTTTCAGCTCATTCCAGCCATTTAAAGGCTTTGTCTTTCTTTTTGATGGGTATCCCTTTCCCCACCTGATGGTTGAGCTTTTGTTCTCCGTTCTGGTGATTTAGATTAGTGATAATAGTCAGATCTAAGATGTGATGGGAGGTTCTCTTCCTCATCCCCCCATTCGGGTACGGTGTAGTGGCGTATTCAGGATTTCGTCTAAAGTGGGTCCAATTAGAAGAAAAATACACATGATAAAATAGTTTTTGTTAACTTTGCTAATTATTCATGATATAATTTTATATTGAAATTTTTTGGTAAATTAAAATACGTTAGTAGTCGAAACTACCATATATATCACCCTGTGTACCAAATAATTATTAATGATTTAGTTAGTTGTACTCTTCGAATGACGTTCTTTGTAAAGAACAATTTAGTATCAACAACTCAAGTTTTTTAGAGAAGTATAATAATGAATCTTACACAAAATAATAATTCATGATTTAATTAGTCGTTCGTTTTTAAAATGATGTTCTTTATTAAGAATCGTTTAATATCAATAAATCGAGTTGTTAAAAGTTTCACAAATCGAAATACCAGGTGCTTAAGAAATAATGTCGCAAAGATTCAAACACAAAACGTTTCGATAAACTATTCTCGATAAGATACCCCCCTAATTTTTTGTATCGACTAACTATTGTACTTAATTTAACTATATTCTATCCGAACCAGGACCCACCCTTCTATACTCTCCCTCCGCCACTGGTACGGTGGGAATCAATCCCCTGTTTTGGCGCACGGTGGCGACGGCGACGTCGGTTGGGTTTTGAGTGGGTATAGCTTCGAAAGCCTTTTCTTGGTTTGGCCCGGATCTGGGCCCTACTAGGAGCTGGCCCACATATTTTGGGCCTCTCTAATTTGGTTTTCACAATCAATCACTTTTTTTTTTTAATTTTCCTTTTGGGTTTCGCGTCGTTTGCATTCTCAATGAACATACCTTTCAAACAAACCAAAAATTCTTTCTTGGGATTTTGATTGTATTTTTATTTAATTGGACTTCAAAAACTTCTAAGTTTTTTATTTTTTATTTTCGAGTGATATAAAGAGAGTACAAGAATTATACAAACAAAACTACTCAATAGTAATGACAATGAGCAGGTCCGGGACGGGTTTCTTGGTACCCAAACCCGCCCCGTGGCAGGTCGGGTAACTTATCACGAGTCGCAGGTCGGGGCAAGTCGCAGGTCGGGGCAGATCGACCCAATGAGTATGCAATTTATATGAAAAACATTCAATATTATAATATATGTAGTTAAATTATTAGAAAATTTGAGGGTTTCACTAATTTACAAATTTATTATAGCTAAATTACATGTAATTTAGGCAAAAAAACGGATCGAGAATGGAGCGGATAAGGACAAATCGGATCGATGAAAGTACCCATACCCATCCCGCCTATGAGACGAGTCGAACCCGCCACAAAACAGACCAAACAAATTGAGTAAAACAGATGAGGTCAAAATTGTCATCCCTACTACTACTCACTCAGAAACTGTGAAACCATCCCGACCAATAGTTATACTTCAAATACTTCATGTTATCAATGCATAAAGTTGGATGCCTATTATAAGCGTTCGTTTCCTGCACACAAATAAACTTTCTTCCTAAGAGGTTTATTTTTATGCACTGTTTCCGTATCTTTCAATCATTTCATCATGTTCGAGATAGCCATAATGATTCCTTAGTAGCAGACCCATTCATGGCAAAATTGTGAGACGTCCCAATCCACAGCAACCACTAGCTAAACTGGACCACAATCACCTTCCAACAAATATGCAAAATCCAGTACGTTAGTGAACGGAGGTTTCTCCGGCTACCGCCCCTGGTTTCGTCGGAGCAGACACCGCGTAACGGCAATTGATCTGCAGAAAAAAATCGAACGGAGAACAATGCCGGTATTTTCCAACCAACACAATAAAAATCTCTTTCAAGCATTTCATCAAACACCTTATCAGTGTGGCCTCCACAACAGTCACCACAAAACAACAAAAGGGTATTTCCGACCAACACATCCCACCAACAACCTCACCAAGAGTTAACAATTTTTTACACGGCACTTCAGCCGGCGGACTTCCGGGCAACGAAATCCCTCACCTGAGCGAAAACCTCCGCGGATTCCGGCAGCTCGGGGAACATGTAGAACGCGTGGATCATATTCGGGTACTCGACCAGCGTCGCTTCCTTCCCCGACCGCTTCAGCCACTCGTAGTACCTCCGCTGCCAGTCCTGCAGCGGGTCCAGCCCGCCGACGATCACCACCGTCTCCGGGTACTCCTTACCGGAAATATCCGACCCGGTCACGTTCGCCGCGTGGTGGTCCCGGGTCGACCCGTCCGGCAGGAACGCCTTCCACAGCCAATCGGTCCGGTCGAGCGACACCAGCACCGAGTTGCTGCGGAATCGGATCTCCGATTCCGACCTCTCTTCCCCTCCGAAGAAAGGCTGTATGGATACCTGCCCCAAGACCCGGAGCCTCCGGAAACCCGACCCGCCCGCCCGAACCGCGACGTGGTGCGCTATGTTCGCCCCGGCGCTGTCCCCGGCCAGGAAGCACTTCCCGATGTCGGCGTTCTCCGGCAACGCCCCGGCGTCGCCGTCGAGGAATCGGAGGACGTCGAATCCGTCGTCGTACTGGCAGGGGAATCGATGCTCCGGCGTGAGGCGGTAGTTCACGGAGACCACGATCGCGGGGAGGCTCCGCGCGAATCGACGGCAGACTAGGTCGTAGCCGACGCTGGCGGCGCTGAGGAAGGCGAATCCGCCGCCGTGGAAGAAGACGAGGACCGGGAGGCCGCCGCCGCCTGCGGCGGCGGCGGATGTGGCGGGAGCGTAGACGCGGAACCACAAGTTGCGGGAGGCGTCGACGGTGACGTCGGAGGAGACGACGGATTGGATCGGAGTGGTGGAGGCAGGGCACTTGAGGTCGAGGAAGCTGAGGAGGCGGCGATTGACCGTACCGTCGTGGCGGCGGCCGAGGTCGGAGAGCGCGGAGACGACGGAGACTGCGAGGCGCGTCCTCCACGGGAGAGGATTGGCCGGAGGAGCGACCGGAGGAGCTAGCTTCGAACCTGTGCCGCTGCTGTTCATGGCTGCCGTGATTTTTTTTTTTTTTTTGTAGTGGAGCTGGTCGACCTTCAAAGTTCAAATCGCTATTTATTTCGGAGAAGAAGACAAGAGCGTTACGTACGTTTTGAGAAGAAGACAAGAGAACGTTCCTTTCTTTATTATCTCTCTCCTCCATTCTCTCGTTTTCTCCGCCGCCCACCATTAAAAAATATAAAAGGAATCAATACGGAGAATCGCCGCCGCCGATAACAATCCGAACCCGGGAGAACGGAGGTTTACAGCCATGGCGGTAGTCCAACCGAGACAGAAACCGTCTCTTTCAGGCATTTCATCGAACACCTTCTCAGCATGGGCTCACATCATTGCACAACAGTCACCCACCTTACCTAGAATTAAGAATTTTTACACGGCACTTCCTGTAATTCATGGTGACATTGAAAGGAAATGTATGTGAGTGTGAGTTGAAGATGAATCTCGGCCGTAGTTGCCAAGCCAAAAGCCATTCCTGTGTTTACTGAAGGTGAGGGTGGAAGGCTGAGAACACTTCCTTGTAGACTGGCTTCTTGAAATCTACCGCCTGCATTTTGAGACATGAACATCAGCAGCAGGCAGGGAAGTTGTGAGTTGTAAGAAAAGAGAATCACTGAATCAAAATGCTGGTTTCGGTTCAATATCTCGCGAAACTACGTAATGTCGCTCACACGATCGATTACTTTGTCGGCTGACATCCACGACCATTCCCCAAACTCGGGTTTCTCACTGCCATCGCCCAACAGATTGATCTCCTCCTCTTCCTTCCCAGTGAACTTGAGCAGAAACCTGCACGTGTGTTCGATCAAGACGGGGGAATGAGGTTGGAGTCGAGGCTAGCAATTAACAAGCAATGCAAGCTGTTTTAACCCTGCACTCACCACTTTTGTGCTTGACCTTTGCAGTCAGTTCCCCATTGTTGTTTAAGCTTTTCCCTGACTTGTGGCGGGAAGTCGTATGTCAACCAAAAGGGTGCCTGCAACAATAACGCGATCACGATACCTCGTTGTCAAACCTTGTGCCCATGCTAATTGGTACGTTTTCAACCTTGTGCCGCTTAGCTGGGTGGAACTGTTTGATGGTAAATATATTTGGATCAAGTGCAACCTTTGTATTGGAATTAGGCTTGTTACGTCTACGAAACAGTAGTGATATTCATTGGAGTCAAAACTATAATATATCGATCAGACCAAGGGTAAGAAAGCAGCATTATGTTTAAATGGAAAAACCTCTGCAAGGATCTCTGCAGAGCTGACTCCAGTCTCTTCTTTTAGTTCCCGGAGAGCAGCAGCTTTTGGGTCTTCGCTCTCGTCAATGCCACCCTGCCACAAGTAGTTGTTAAGAACAGCACGACAGAATCCGATCCAATCCATGGAGCAATGAGAGCTACAGCCAGAGCAGTATATCCAATCAACAAGTTAGCTGTACATGAGATAAAAGGACAATGCAGGACCATGATCACTCAGAAGAAATGATATGCTGGCATATGTAATTATGTATACGCCTCCAAGTAAAAGTTTCTTATCAAATTAACCATCAAGAAGAAGCTGCCACATTACCCCCTCTGCATTTGCGCTGCCTTATACCTTGGCTATGAAAACACACCAGCAAATTAACAATACAAGCAGTCTGTATGAATCCCAATTAACTCCAAACCTTCAACAGGCAAAATTTTCTAACAAGTGATTCCTTTCTAGCAACTATATGATTCATAATCTGGCAACAAACAGAAGTTGTCTTTTCACAATATAGTGTAGGCATTGGTCCAGTGCCACTTCCGAAAACCGCACAACTTACAGAAAGAATCAGTACCTCAGTCTCACCTTCAATGAGATGCAGGTTCTTCTATTATGATTGGGAAAACCAATGATTGCTACAGATGAAGTAAACCCACAACATCTAAGACTTTCGGGGCGAAACTAATCGAAGTACCTGACTGCTTGAGTCCTCTCCTCTCAAAAGTTCCCCTACAAGATCTCAAATTGACACCTCTTTTGGACAAAACCAGGAGGAGAAGCATTCTCAATCATTCTTACTGAACTTGCACAATGGCTCCTCGAGTTATCTAATGATGTAGCTAATGGCTAGCGCCTACCAACGACAGTTCAGGTTATGGCAGCAGCTTACAATCAGCTGAAACATCAGTGTAAGGAACTTGACCCGAGATAAAAGAGTAATGCAGAAGGCTATACAACACAAAAGGTTGATCAAAAAAATTAATCACCAAAGATTATCAAGTAATGGGATCGGGAAATTCACCTGTGGCATCTGCCATGAATCCGGTATGTCCAGTCTTGAAGCGGCAAATATCTACACAATTTGCAATTTCAGGATTGGCAAACGACGATTCCAATGCGGCCTCTAGTTCTCGATGGGAAACTAAAGAGGAGAAACACCATACCTTCTTAGATGGGTTGATGAGACAAATACCCACGTTTCTTCTGTAACCTTCAGGGGGAGACTCCATTGATGACGACAACGATGAAGATGCTGATAAACTTCTGAGCTCTAATGGGTCGGTGGAGAGCTTCAAAGAGGTACAGAAAGGTGGCAGTTTGGTGAATTTGTGCAACTTGGGAGGGCAGTTTGAGAAGGACAGAGTGGGAACAATGGAGAGCATCTGATTCCGAGGAGGGCGACGGAGCTGCGAATACGAGAGCAGGGTCCTGCAAACTGCCATTTCCCCATCACTCCAAAAGTTTCTCGCTTTCAATACGCTAGAGCTGAAGTGCCAGCCAATTGGAAGAGAGAACGAGCCCAAAATTTCCAAGCCAAGACTTATCAAAAGCCTCATTGGCCCATTGCCCTTAGGCCTTAGATGGGCTGATTGATTTTCGGTTAGTGTTTCAACTCATCTCTTCCAAATTCCAATCGACCATGGAAGCGACCTCCGGCGGCCGGCACAACCGTTTCATCTGACATTCTCCGGCTAATTCATCAGCAAAAGGCAAATGAGCCAAGCGATGCTGGAAACGCACCGCCAGGCTTTGTATATAGTCACAAAGATGGTGAAAGTCCCGCCTTTCAGGGCTCTATCAATCTTCAACTCCTCTGTTCTTCAGGGTGTCCATCACACTGATCACAGTACCCATTCAGTTTCCCTAGTCCTCCAACATCTCCTTCACTCCAGCATGGCATCGAATGCACAGTCGCTTCTTCAGCGGGTACTTTCTAATCGAATCCCTTCACCTTTCTTCTCCGTTTCATCTCTCCTTCAGTATTTAACACAACCCAACTTGAGCTCAAGCTCATCAATTAGTGTCCTTCTATATGAATCCATTGTCAATGCCCATGTTCATTCCCAGTTGACAGATGATGCCCAGTTCTATTTCCATAAAATGGTTGAGAGAGGCCTTGTTCCTGAAGGCCGTGACATTCAATAACCTGTTGGGTTGTCTGGTGAAGTCAGGCTGTTATGAAAGGTCCTGGAGTTTTTTCCAAGGAGTGAAGGGAAGGGTTAAAACGGATGTGTACAGTTTTGGGATAATGGTGAAAGGTTGTTGCTAGTCTGGTGATTTGGATGGAGCTTTTAAGGTTCTGGCTCAGTTGGAGGAGATGGGTCTATCTCCAAATGTTGTTATATACACTACTTTGATTGATGGTTGCTGTAAGAAGGGTGATATCGAAAGGGCCAGATTGCTGTTCAGTAGAATGTGGGAGCTGGGTTTGGCTGCTAATGAGTATACTTACACTGCTTTGATTAATGGACTCTTTAAGAAAGGACTGAGAAGAGATGGGTTTAAGTTATACGAGAAGATGCAGCTGAGTGGAGTAGTTCCTAATCTCTATACCTACAATTGCCTGATGAACGAATACTGCAATGAAATGAGAATGTACAGAGCTTCTGCTCTGTTTGAAGAAATGTGTGAAGGTGGCATTGTGCCTAATGTGGTTTCCTACAATATTCTAATTGGTGGCATGTGTAAAGATATGAGGCTCCGGGAAGCAGAGAAGCTGGTCGGTCGAATGAAAGGAGCAGGCGTCGTTCCAAACTTGATCACGTATAACAATATCATAGGTGGGTTTTGTAGCAAGAGAATGTTTGACAAGGCTTTGAGCTGGTTAGATGAAATGCAGTTGAATGGGCTATCGCCTTCGTTAGTTACTTACAATGTTCTCATTCAGGGGTATTCTAGTGCTGGTTATTTAGCTAGAGTGACTGCTTTGGTGAGGGAGATGGAAGATAGAGGTTTCACTCCTTCTGCAGTGACATATACAATCTTACTTAATACTTATGTGAAGTCTGGGGATATGGAGAAAGCTTTTCAACTTTTGTCCTCCATGAAGAATGCTGGTTTGGTTCCTGATGCCTACACTTATGGAGCATTGATAAATGGGTTCTGCAAAAATGGGAACATGAAGGATGCCGCAAAAGTATTTAGATCCATGAGAGAAATGCCGCTCGAGCCTAGCGATTTAATATACAACACAATGATCAGTGGATACTGCAACGAAGGTAGCTCCTACAGGGCCTTGAGGTTGCTTGAGGAAATGGAGGGAAAAGGATTAGTTCCAAATGTGGCTAGTTATAGTTCCACCATTGCAGTCTTGTGTAAGGATGGGAAGTGCCAACACGCAGAAGCGATATTGAACAGTATGATTGGGAAAGGATTGAAGCCTAACATCTCCATCTATAATAAGATCCTCGACGCCAGATTTGAAGGACTGAAGGAAACTGGGAAAGTGGAGAGAGCCAATGTCGTGTAGCTTGGTGGAGTGACGAAAACTGATCTGTTACTCTGATGTGCAAGCCTAGATTTGCTCTGGAACAGTTAAGTAATGCTCAAGCACCAACTTGTTTCTGCTTTCTATGGATGTATAGAACAACCACCTTCCCCTCAATCAAATCGTTACGCGTTGATATCAACATTTAGGTGGGATATACAGATGTGGTATGTACATTACTGATATTGCTGGTTTATGCTCAAATGCTACTCAGTACTTTGTTAACAGATGAATGTTGATAGGTCTTACTTGCTGGAAATGCGAAGAAAGCGTTGGAAATGCAGCTGAGAGATCTCGTATTACTGTGTGTGTTGTTAATCGCTCTGATGTCCATCGATGGAAAATTTGAAGGTTGAACAATGAGGTTAGCCCTACTGACCAGCAGGCTGTCGATTTACTTAGCAGTGGTTGTGCATCCAGTCCAGCATATTGAAAACATGTTGTTCCATTGTTTTCCTGCTGATGTTGTTGCTCTTTCTGGCTGCCTGACTGTTGCTGCGAGGCATGCATGGCGTTTTCTACATGGGTTATGATTCTACTGATTCTTTTTTGTAAGTTTTAGGGCGGGCAAGCTGCTGCCGACTGCTAGAAGAGCAGGTATTTCTCATGCTGATTGATATTCTTCCTCTCATGACCAAAGGGACCACCTTGTTTTCCTTGTTTGGTTGTACCTCTGCCAGATTACAATGTTGAAATTGTAGCGTTTTTTCTCCAATGAACACACCACCATTTTTGTTGAATTTGTCAGAGTTTGAGAGATGCTGGTGACTCAGAGGTCCACTACATGGCTAGACTTTGGTAATGGAAGAAAAAGAGTGGTCAAGAAGAATGGAACTGAATGTGTATATATCCAGGCAGACATCGTGAGGGAATCTGTTGCAAAAGACTTTCCCCTAACAATTAACTTTCTGATTAAGGGTTGCTTTTGACGTGTATACTACCGTTTAATATGTCTCAATATGACTATATCTCTGACATAAAAAAAAAAGTCACGAGTATTTATTATCCAAATCTTTTTCAGATTCATTTTTGTTAGCCAAACTTATCGAAATACTAAAAATTAGCCAAACGTTGTGTAATGCATCAAAATGTTAATCTCTGTGTATCTCTTTCAAGCCAGTATCATGTTGTCAAGTCAATATTACTAACAAAATTGCTAACTGAAAGTTAACAATTGGCTAATTATTTGTAATTCAATAGATTTGGCTAATAAAAAAGAATCTGAAAAATGTTTGGGTAATAAATAGTCATTACCCTATAAAAAAAGATAGCATTTTGATAATAAAAAAAGTATTGAGAACTCGAATACGACCAAATAGAACTACAGAGTGGTGAGAGTTGACTCGAATGTAGATTTGAATTCATCAATTTATGTATCCGAGTTTTGACCGCTGTCGCTTTTACATTTCTTTCCTAGTAAGCGGGGCTGTTGATCGAAATAATCGACATATCATCTATATTACTCTTAGGTTTCTTAGGCGTTCATGAGGATCAAAATTTACCGGCCGTGATAGATTTTTCCTCGTGATGAATGATATATGATTCAATAAGAAAACATTAATTGACAAATTCGTTAGGAAATCAAAAAATCATTTATATGAGTTAATATGATCCAAATAACTCGTTTTACAACTCATTGTGAGTTGATCATCATTCATCAGCATGCACTCACTATTCACGTGGTTCCATTAGCGGGAAAAAATGAAAGCATTTTAATTGCAACTTGCAAGTGACGCTCAACCTACCGTCCACCACTATGTTTATGTTGGGCAACAACTCCTTTTTGTTACTTGCGTGGGCACTGCCTTTATGAACTTTAGTAAGGGTAGGATATTCTATTCTATTCAACAGAAGAAAAGAAATAAAACTTCTACTTCCACACTTAGAATTGAAAACTTCATTCATTGGGTAATTTTTCCAAATAATAATGGTAATAAAGTTTAGTAGAAGTGGGTTATTATGATTGGATAATTTTGTTAGAGAGGTGTGGTCTGAACTTTATTCTCTCATGTGAGTAGTTTATTAAAAAATTACATGTGCATATTGATAATGTTTTCTTGCGATAGGGTTAGCAGAAAATGCAAAGAACCCTACTAATCAATGCTTTTAGAATGATTAGGATATTGAGTTGTTTTCCTTTTGATTTTCGATCTTTTTAGCACGCGTGCTGAATCTCTATATTATTTTTTCTTCTATTGTATTTTCAGTCTAGCAACTTCATTCCTTCGTATAAACTTTGGGGACTTGATTGAATAGTACAATTTAGGAATTTAGCTCCAAAGGGGTATCCGGTATTAGGCGTCGGTCCTTTCAACATGTTGAGGGGCTTGACTTGGAATAAGAAAATACAAACAACCGCGGAATTTATTGGGAAAGATAGATTAATTTAACTTTGAGTCTTATATCCAATAAAAGGTCACTCTTATAGATAAATTCACATCACTGTTATTACCTAATTTTCCAGATAGTACAAACTACGAACTAAGCAGATTGAGGCCCCCGAGACTCGATCGAGAGTATGGAGTACTCTCTGGTTCAGTGGTCAGTGGTCATTCAGTCTACGAGATCCTTATGGAGGCCCTTTGAGCGATCTATTTTCTACTTGAGAAAACAAATCGTGAAGAATTTTATGTATACCATGTTCCCTGTCGAAATGTCTGTGTTGAAAGGGCTTGAAGTAGGTTTTATTTGCCGTCTACTGTGAGTCACGAGATCTCGCTAACACGCGGTGCATGGGCTTGTACACAATCGATCTTCTGTGTTGTAACTTTTTTGCCTTTCCGGATTGGGTCGGGGCGAAAGATTATCTTGAGAAGGTGCTATCTATAACTTCTGAAGTACCCTATGTAATTTGTATCCTACTCAAGTACATTGAAACTTGTATTTCCTGCTCGTGAATTTACTTTCTTACATGATCGACTTTCCGATTCCGAAGTAATACCGTGTAAAAGGAAAAAACAAACCATGAAGACAGACAACTTGGAGATCCTCCTCCATCTCCGTGGGTTTCCCACATATAGCACACATCCTCTGCCAAATGTGAAGTGGACAAACTACTACAATCACACACTAAAATTCTACCATATAATACTCGATAAAAAGAATTCCCCCATGTGGGAGAGGTGCATACATGCGAGCTATCTGCAGACTGCCAGTTTCTGCCCCCCACCTTTTTTTTTCTCCATAGCCACCCTCTCCACCAAGGTTGTCAATCCGCGGGTTGACCCGTACCCGGTCGAACTAGTGGATCAAGAGTTAATGGGTCATCCATTTTAGCCCGGAAATATGAAAGTGGTCAGTATATTGTACTTATCGTGATAAATTATATCAAATCTCATCTAACATATGAGTTATAACATATCATATATTCCACCAAAATAACATGTCGTACTCAGATCCAACATATAGTGAAAATTCACACACTTATATATAACATTAATATTCAGATGCTCAACTTAGAATTCCAAAGATTGAGTTAGGCGAAAAGAAGAATCGGAAAATAGGCGCGCATTTCAGAAACCCACGAGAGAAAAAAATGACAGAATTTAACCTCCAACCCGATATCTTGTAGCGGTCGACCCAGCAGGTGCATGCGGCCCGTTTTTCCTCACCGAATCAGGATCAAAGTGGATCAACTCGCGCGGCTTGACAACCTTGCTATCCACTCACTCCATTTTCTTTCTCTCTAACATTTTAGTGCTCTATTATAAATACATCAAACCTTAACCCACCGGCAAACCATTCATCCTTCTCTCCTCTGCCCTCAAACTCTCATTCTCCCACCAGAGCTGCTTGGCCATCCCTTCTAGATATGGAAGTAAAAGATCAGCTACCACCGCCCTATAGTACTGCTGCACGCAGATGGTGGTCGAAGGAGACGGTGGCGGTGGTCACCGGCGGGAACAAGGGGATCGGGTTCGCGGTGGCGAAGAAGCTGGCGGAGAAAGGGCTGACCGTCGTATTAACGGCGAGAGACGTCGGAAGAGGGAAGCAAGCCGTCGAGACGCTGCGATGTCGTTTCGGTCTACATAACGTCAGCTTTCTGCAGCTCGACGTTTCCGACCCTTGTTCCGTCGAAGCCTTCGCTTCCCGGTTTCGTCAAGACTTTGGCCTGCTGGACATTCTCGTAAGCAATATTAATTACCATATTCATTACGTGCCTTTTAACGGTGGTTTCCACACCTTTGTGTTTGTTTCCTAACAAAAACCCCAAGGCAAAAAAATTGCATTGAAATTAGGTATTCAACTATTCATTTTCTTTCGAGTATCCAATCATACAATTTCAATTCAACACAGAACTAAAAAAAGTTTGGCATGAGTTCCTCAAAAGTAAAATCTGATTTGACCCAAATATCGAATTTTTTTCCCCATCCCTAAAATTGACTCCGTATGTTTTTTTCTTCTTATTCTACAATAATATGACGATCAGGTGAACAATGCGGCAGTGTCGTTCAACGAGATACATTCGAACTCGGTGAAACACGCGGAGACGGTAATGAGAACCAACTTCTACGGCCCCAGGTTGCTCATCGAGGCCCTCCTCCCCTTCTTCCGCCGCTCCCCCAGCTCCTTCGCCCGCATCCTCAATCTCAGCTCCAGGCTCGGCTCTTTCACCGTAAGTATTAAGTACCGAGCGCGCTTCTAAAATCATATCGTATCAAACAGTCAGACCCAAAAAAAAATCTCCTATAAGAGTATGTACTAGTAAGAGATATTTAGCCGTATGAAACGATTGAACCACTGACTAACTTTAAATGGGAACGCAGAGAGTGAGAAACCCTAGGCTGAAGGCGATTCTCGAAGCGGAGGCGCTGACGGAGGAACAGATAGAGGAAGAAGTGGTGAGGAAGTTTCTGACAGAGGTGAAGGAAGGGACGTGGGAAGGAACAGGCTGGCCGGCGCACTGGACCGACTACGCCGTCTCCAAGCTCGCGCTCAACGCCTACTCCAGGGTTCTGGCGCGGCGGCTCCGCGGGGCGGAAGGGAAGTTGATAATCAGCGTCAACTGTTTCTGCCCCGGTTTCACTCAGACGTCCATGACCGGCGGCAGGGGGACTCATTCCGCCGGCGACGCCGCCGAGCACGCGGTCGCACTCGCGCTGCTCCCGCCCGATCTGCTCACCACCGGCAAATTCTACGTCGGGTTTGCCGCCGCCGCTTCCGCCGTGGATTCCAAGATGTAGCGTGTGGAATGTGGATTTGTCTTCACGAATAGTAGCTTTTTGTTTGGATTTTTGCCATAATTTCAAAGTTAGAAGAAAGAGTGATCTTAGAGAAGAAGAAAAATATAAGAAGGATGAATATGGAAGAAAAAAAATGTGAGATTTCATAATTCTAATGTCAAATTTTTACGTTTTTACATCCGTTCTCAAACGCATGATTCTTTCACAAATCCTATATCCAAAAATCCAAATCCTCATATGTACTATCATTAGGACAAGGTTTTATTTTATGGAAGACAAATTGAATTGGTAGTAGCCTCTAACCAACAGCTCTTACATACAAATCCCCCTCATAATCGATGTGCGTCTTCCTCTGATTTCTCTAACTCTCTATTCACGAAAGAAGGAATATAGAGAATACGAAAAAAAATTAGGAGAAAATGGAGCGATTCATCTTTTTTCTTATCCATAAGTTTTGCTACAGTACAAAAAAGTAATAATACTTGGGGAAAATTTACTATAGCTAACTGCCTCCCGATTTGGAGTGAAAATAATTAGGGTAAATACAATATCTTAGACACAACTATTATGAAGCGGGGAACTACAGCCACAATTATGGAAATTCAAATTATAACGTTAACTATCTGTTAACAATTCCGATAGTAATCCTAACTAAACTTTTATATTTTAAAGTTATAAATTAAAAGCAGTCTGACGTGGTTGCTGTCGTGGCCGATGACGTGACCTTTTCCGTTAAAAATTCAATAATAGTAACGAACAGTTAGCCATATCTTGACCCGCAACAATAATTATGACTAATAATTTGAATTTTCATAGTTGTGGCTATACTTCTCCGCTTCATAATAATTGGGCTAATATATTGTATTTACCCAAATAATTATTGTCTCTTATTTTTCCCCCTTTTTCTAAAATGGAACACATGCTTTCCCCTTGTTATTTCTCCTCAAATTTTCAACCGATTTTCCTTCTCCTCACCAATTCCCTCCCCCCTCATGAAAATTGATTCCCATGGCCCACAACGCATTTTATGTACTATGGCCCTTTTAATACATCTTACCCAAAAGCCCGGCGCTGCTTCTTTCATTAGCGTCTGAGCCGAGGAAATCGGCCTAAATACCACTATGGTCTGGGCTTTAACATGGGCGGCCCAATAGCATCCGATCTGTACCAGCTTCTTTGCCTACACTCGCATGCACCTGATCCGACCCTCCCTGCTCTCATCTCGCGATCCCGTGCCGAGTCTCCACGACAGCACCTTTTCTACTACTAATAATTGCTCTCTTTCCCTCCTCTGTTCTCTTCTTTCTTCATCTCACAGGGACACTCACCAACACAAAATCTCTTCCCACTTCTTCGTTTTCCCGTGCTACTTTTAATCTGCGGTGAGTTCGGATTCGATCGAAACCTTTAGGATTTTCCTTTTTGGCTCGATTGGGATCGGAGCCTTCCTCCTCCCTTTTGTCTTCTCTGGATTTCGCTTACGGTTTTTCTCTGCTGCAGAAGATGCCGTCGGTGTACGGAGCTCGATTGACCACCTTCGAGGACTCGGAGAAGGAGAGCGAGTATGGATACGTTCGTAAGGTACTTTTTTCTGTTCCGTTTCTTTTCTATGATCTCGTTGGCATTGGATTTGTAGTGTAATTGGTTCGGATTCGATTTGGTTTTGTTGCTGTATCTGCGCGATTGTGTTTGATGATGGCAAATTGAGATCGAGTTTGTGAAATGCTTCGTTCGGAAATCTGTTGCGAGTTTAAGTGGATTGACATTTGGTTGGATCTTGTTTGTGGACTGAATTGTGTGATCGGCTGCGGATCGAGTTTTGGACCTTTCCGATCCGTTGATTGTGTTATCTGCAGCTGTTTGTACCTGGCCTCTCGTTTGTTCGTGCTCTGTGGAATTGCTTGCAGAAGAGATCGTAATGGAAATAGCATAGGCTCTGACGAGGCAAATTCTGGTTTCTTTTGTTAGGCATACTTGTTTCTGTTTGTTTCGACGTATAGAAGCTTGGCCTTGGGGATAAGTGCTGTAGTTTGGACTGACTGGTTCACTTTCATGGCCAATCAACCTCTGGAAGTGAAAAAAAAGGAAGTTATGATGCAAAATTAAGTTAGCAAGTCCCTTTCGTCTTTCCCCTTTTATGATCCTCTCACCGGAAGTGAAAGAACTATACTCCAAAGAAGCATATGAGGCATAAAAAAAGAAAAAATTGGCTACTCCTTCCGTGATGGGCATTATATTGCCATTCTTGAACGGTAATATTATAAGATGTCGATTTCTTTGCTGTTTGAATACTTTTAATTGGTGGTGGAGGATAACTTTTCCTCAGTAGTGTGGTAGACAAATCGTACAACGAATGATGTTACTTCTGTTGCTACTCTTGCTAATACAGTCAGATTTCTGCATCTTCTTGTTTTACTACTGATTTATGCTGGACTCAGCACTCTCCTACCACCTTTAGGCAGATGTTCCATCTCTATTTTCGTTTTAGTATATCAGGTTCTTGCTCGTTGAATTACCTTGTTTCAATTTTGGTCCTTTCTTTTAACATGATAACTGTTCTCCTAGGTATCCGGGCCTGTCGTCATTGCAGATGGGATGGCTGGTGCTGCTATGTATGAACTGGTTCGTGTTGGCCATGACAATCTGATTGGGGAAATTATTCGGTTGGAAGGGAATTCAGCCACAATTCAAGGTTTGGAATTCACTTCTATCTTCGTGGTGGCTTTCAGTGTTGTACAATTCCTTTTTGCTGCTGTTTGCATCCAAGGCACCTCGTCAAATTATGCTTCCTTCTTTTCTTCTGCAAGGGTGGTTTCGCGAGAAAAATTTATATGCCCATTATTTATTGAGTTTGTTAGATTATTTGGTACTAAAAATTTGCTAGTTGGTTTCAGTGTATGAGGAAACAGCTGGTTTGATGGTCAACGACCCTGTTCTGAGGACTCGCAAGGTAATAGTTCAGTCATGGCTTGACCTCACCCATGTTGTTGTAGTTTGGATAATAATGGTAATGTTTGTTTTCCAGCCTCTATCCGTGGAGTTGGGACCAGGAATATTGGGGAATATATTTGATGGAATTCAGGTTTGATCCCTGATACTCACTTCTTTGTCAAGATTCAAGTTTCTGATCTTTCAAATATAGGCTTATCGAAATTTTCTCATAGCAGTACTTAGATTTTTGATGGAAATCGTCTGATTTATCTGTTCTTTTAAAACAGAGGCCGCTGAAAACTATTGCAAAGAGATCCGGGGATGTGTATATTCCTCGTGGTGTTTCTGTCCCGGCTCTTGACAAAGACACTCTTTGGGAGTTCCAGCCTAAAAAATTGGGTAATGTCCGGATCTGGAAACTTGCTTACTGTTAATCCAAATATGCATTTGATTATGAAGAGTAGTCTTCCTCTGATCTCATTTTGGCATGTGATTATGGCAGGTGAGGGAGATCTTTTGACCGGTGGAGACTTATATGCTGTGAGTTTTGCCACACTCCATCTGCTCTGTAGATTCATTCTAGTAGAGGAACTCTAGTTGCTCATTTTAGTTTATGATTGCTTATTGTTGGTTCTCATTTCTGTATGTGTTCCTTCTGGAGTTCAGACCGTTTTCGAGAACAGCCTTATGCAGCATCACGTGGCCCTCCCTCCAGATGCCATGGGAAAGATTTCCTACATTGCACCTCCTGGTCAATATTCACTGAAAGTAATTTCACTTTGCTCTCCTTATACTTTCTGGTTAACCCCTTGCAAATATTGGCGTGCTATGCCCATTCGTTATGTGATTCATGACATTTGGCAACCATGATTATTACCTGTATATGCAATAAAGCCCTCTTGCATATTAATGTGTTAACACTTAACACGCCTCTTGTGCCCTGGACTGACAAATTTAATGATATATAAGGTGGAAATAACTGGGATACGTCCGTTGTTTAGATCATCATGTTATTTGGATGTTTGTCTTTGGTATGTGGGCATGTGAACCACAGTAACTTATCTGGTTTTCATGGATTTTTTTTTAATAAGGGTGATATAGGTTTGGTTTTTATTTAGGTGTTAATTAAGGGATTCGAACCTGGGACCTCCAGGTTCAAGATCAGTGGGTTTTGATTGATTATCTTCTTACATCAACTTGATGAGATTGAGATGCATTTATTGTTTATTCTTATTATGTACTGCATGGCTCTTGTCAGGAATTATTCTCCTTACTGAATGTTTGCATTTCCTTATGAACCTTGGTCTATTTGCTTTCTTGATTGCAGGATACGGTGTTGGAGCTTGAGTTTCAGGGTGAAAAGAAGAAGTTCACCATGCTTCAGGTTTCTCATTTGAGATACTAGTTAGTTTTGGTCTGCAGGTCTTGTCTCATGAATCTTATGTGTTCTGTTGCATTTTTTATTTATAGACCTGGCCGGTTCGTACACCAAGACCTGTTGCATCAAAGCTTGCTGCTGATACCCCTCTTCTCACTGGGCAGGTAACCATTCATGCATTTTTTCCTTCTTTTCTTTATCTTTGAACTTGCACGATGTGGACTCTCATGATTCTGTTGAATATGTTGCACCAGCGTGTCCTTGATGCTCTTTTCCCTTCTGTGCTTGGTGGAACTTGTGCCATTCCTGGAGCTTTCGGATGTGGGAAAACTGTCATTAGTCAAGCACTTTCCAAGGTTTAATTCTTGTGACTTAATCGTATATGGTTTGTTTTAGTTAATAGTTTTATATCATAACTCGGATGAATAACAAAATGCATCGACTGTGCAGTACTCAAATTCTGATACTGTTGTATACGTTGGATGTGGGGAGAGAGGAAATGAAATGGCTGAGGTATGTGTCGTATATCTGATCTGAATATGGGTATCTGTATGTCTATGTGCGTTAGTAATCTAAGAATGGCCATAAACTCAGGTGCTTATGGATTTCCCACAATTGACTATGACGTTGCCTGATGGCCGTGAGGAATCTGTGATGAAACGTACAACACTTGTTGCCAATACATCAAACATGCCTGTCGCTGCTCGTGAGGCTTCAATTTATACAGGTACGGTTCTGATTGATTCTTAGGGAGAGAGAGGCATAGCTGCTTGCTAATGAATTTTTCTTATATTGTCATGAAGCTCTAAGAAATTCGCTGGTCTACAAACTTTAAATAAGAAACACAAATTTCGTTTATATTTTCTATAAAAATGAACTGCCTCAACTTGAATGTGCATCATTGGTTGCTTTATACCAAGTTAGTTACATGCCAGAACATTCTCATCTGTCTCTTGTGTTACTTGTGGCAAAAAGTAACATCGATAACTTTAAACGAAATTATCAATATTTTATTTGGACAGGAATTACTATTGCTGAATACTTCAGAGATATGGGCTACAATGTGAGTATGATGGCAGATTCAACTTCACGATGGGCAGAAGCACTGCGTGAAATTTCTGGAAGATTGGTTAGTCCCTCTTTAGCTGCTCTTAGTCCATTAGACTGAGTTGTACTTGCTGAATAAAGCTCGTTTAATATTTTTCTAGTTGTTCTATATGTCTTTAGGGTAATAGACTTATTATTTTGCACCAATTTACTTCCCATCAATTGCATTCAGATGATCATTATACTTGTCCTGTGTGGGCACCAAACTCTTGTTCCCTTCCTATCTACTGTTTCCGAGCGAATGATGCCTCCTTCATATTGATCTTGTTGTTTGCCTTATACTAAATCTCTTATTGTTTGTTTCTTTTCTAGGCTGAAATGCCTGCAGATAGTGGATATCCTGCTTATTTAGCAGCACGTCTTGCTTCATTTTATGAACGTGCTGGTAAGGTAAAATGCCTTGGTGGGCCAGAGCGTACTGGCAGTGTTACAATTGTTGGTGCTGTTTCTCCTCCTGGTGGAGATTTTTCTGATCCCGTCACATCTGCTACGCTCAGCATCGTCCAGGTGAATATCCACGCTTATATGTTTCATTGAATTGAAATGAATGGATTACTTTATCAAAATGAAAGGTTATGACACTGTTGGGTGTTGGCCATGTAGTTGGTTGAGAATGGGTGCCATCAATGCTTGGTTTCAAGCTCATTTACGACTTACATTAGAAATTTCTTCATAATTTCAGTGTAGGTGGTCAGTTGAAATTTAATTTCAACCTTAACAATTGCAATATGTAATATGCGGTGAAAAATATTGCATACCACTATTTGTATCAATAATGTTGGCTGTCACGGTTCCCGCTGGGGCTCTTCTTGCACTACATGAACTTTTGAAAAGGATGATAGATCAGTTCTTCCTTGTTTGACAAAACTTATGCTCTCTCCAATGAAATAAAATCCTACGTAGCTGTCAGTTGAGTCGGATGGTTTGGAGGGAAATTCCTTGGCAATCATTGGATCAATTGATTTTTTCACCCAAAAGTCTATATCCAAACATAAACCTCAAGGGATGGATGGCTAACAAGAAACTTAGTGTGGGTCCTACTTTGTTTTACGATGTAAGCCAGTGAAAATGAGCAATGAGCTCTCCTATCCTGCTTGTCAGTTAATGCCCTCATCTCCCATTTTCTACTTTTCTTGCTCTTGACACCTGGTGAAGATCTAAGTAAATGTTACTTGCAGGTTTTCTGGGGTCTGGACAAGAAACTTGCCCAGAGGAAACATTTCCCTTCTGTAAACTGGCTGATTTCCTATTCAAAGTACTCTACGGTATGTTTTATCTTCTGGATGTTACTCTGTATGAATCGGTGCTTAATTTATGGTACATATATTCTGTACTCTACAGTCTGTATGCACATTTATTCAAATTTTCTTCATTGTTTAGGCGCTTGAACCTTTCTACGAGCAATTTGATTCCGACTTCATCAATATCAGAACCAAGGCCAGAGAAGTGCTGCAAAGAGAAGATGACTTGAATGAAATTGTGCAGCTTGTTGGAAAGGATGCTTTGGCTGAAGGAGATAAGATTACTTTGGAGACTGCTAAACTTTTGAGGGAAGATTATCTTGCTCAGAATGCTTTTACCCCGTAAGTTCGCTTGCACCACCCTTAAGGTCACCAGTCTGGGCATCACTTATATGATCCTTGTCTCATTTCCCCCTCATAATTTGGCGTTTTCTTTGTGCGTGTGCTAGGTATGACAAGTTCTGTCCCTTCTACAAATCTGTTTGGATGATGCGCAACATCATTCACTTCTACAACTTGGCCAATCAGGTAACTATTCCATCAATCTTCCGTCTCAGTTATATGAAAAATAATTTATTTATTCGTTTCTTCCCCGGAATGGTTGTGGGCTTGTGAATGTTAAACTGTTTTTCTTCCCCAAATTAATCTTCCTTCTGTGGGGAATTTCTACATGCAGGCTGTGGAGAAAGGAGCTGGTATGGATGGTCAGAAGATCTCATACACCCTTATCAAGCATCGATTGGGAGATCTTTTCTACCGCTTAGTGTAAGTATCTTATAATGCTGTAGCTGAAATCCTCTGGAACTAAAACCATGAACAAGTGTCTGCGGTGCTGTTCACTGTTGCATCAGTTGTTGTTCTAATATGTTATACGCTCAATGTAATATGCAGGTCTCAGAAGTTTGAGGATCCGGCTGAGGGAGAACCTGCATTGGTGGCCAAATTCAATAAGTTGTACGATGATCTCACTGCTGGTTTCCGTGCTCTGGAGGATGAGACCCGGTGATTCTGTCAATCTCTGGGAGGTTTCGGCATCTTATCTGCCTTGTGCCTCCAAGTGGTAGCGCTATACGACACACTTGGTATCTATTTATTTCAGCGTCTCTAGAGAAGCGGTCAGGGCCCTATAGCTTGATCCCACAGCACTTTGGGAGAGGGCCAGGGGGATGGATTATTTTGCTGTGCCTTTCGACATTTATAGTTGCGACGGGAAAGATGTGGTGTGGTAGCCTAGTGTTCTGTATTGTTAGTAAGGTTGATTTTTTGAGAGTTCATTTTGAGCAGCAACAAAAAGACCAGAGAAGTGCCACTGCTCCGCCAACTTTCGTGTATTTATCGCAATAAGGGCCTCTGTATTTTTGGTGCCTAGTTTGTATTGGATTCGTTGTTTTACGTATTAAAGCTAAAATCGATCATCCTTGGTGGTTGTAGTAGGCTGCCGTGCCCTTATCTAGTTAGTCGACTTTGTTTTCCGGTTGCTCGAACCTTGTATTGGTATTGGAACTGGAAGCAGCAGCCTTTCTGCTTGCCCCAAACGAAAATCCTACTGGTATTAGTAGACTTTTGTTATGCTAAGAGCGTTCTGCTCTATTGCTCTAGCTTGTGCCCATCCCTGTCATTCTCTAGCAATCAAGTGGAACATAATGACATAACGGATACTCGGATTCAGGACAAGTTATTCACGCTTAGATGTGAAAATATTCGAATTCTGTGAGATCCACAACGAGCATTCGTACAACTCAAAACGATCATCAGTCAATTTACCAGTCAGACTAATCCTCCTAGATCCGTCTTTCCTTCTGCTCGAGAGATGCATTATGGTCAAGCTGGGCATAAGGCATCTGGACAAGATCACAAGACAACTGATTAAGAGAAAGGACACGAATAATTTCCAGATAAGTGGGTTCGAAGATGAAAGAGTGTGCCAGTATGATGAATCCTTCCGTTTAGCCGAAAGAAATCACAGTAAAGATACATTTCTACAGCATCTGAAGAGTATAAGAAACAGAACACCAGTTGTTGAATACAACCACCAGATTACATTGGCACCAGGAGATTGGCCCCGAAAAACCGGTGGACATTGATCGATGCAGAACAAGTACGGTTCCTTTCAACCAGGCCCTACTTTAGGAATGTCGTAGTGCTCGCTCATATTAGCCAAATACTGGTTGAAACCTTGGATCCTGTCTCTATGCGATTTGTTGGCTTCTTTCGCCATCTTGTGCCTGTCGAGCCTCTCCCTCTGCTCTATATATCGTTTCTCTGCAGCAGTTAGGTGGTCCTTGTAAGACTCTGACTTGTCTTCGTTGTTCATTTTGCTGGCGTCTTCTGCGACTTCTTCATTGACGTCGCTAGATTCTTCAACAGCTTTACCTATCAAGTGATCTCAAAATGTTTAGCATCAAGAATTCAATTGCTGAAACGAAACTGTAAAACCCCAAAACTTGGTTTGGACCCATGTTCAGTGACAGTGAAGTTGAATTAAGCATTTTGAAGACATGGGAAGCGTGTTCTGAATGTACGAAAGACTGTAACAAAGATACTGCAACATACAGTTATGCCAAAGTTACCAGAGCCACATTCAATAACAGTTTATCAAGTAGATAAATGAGAAAGGAAGAAGTAATTCTACTCATCAGGACAAGAGCAGTAAAACATGAGGCGTTATCAGCAGCCCAACAATGTATTGATGCCTATCAATTTGGCCTAATCGCTTTAGCATTCAAATCAAAGTTCCTCAAGCAGCATAATAGATCTCTATTGTTTCTTCTACATAAAAAAAAAACATGCACTAAATAGTAAAATTAAGAGATCACTTGGGAACTGCATAGTCGCCATTTACAGGTCTATACATCCATCACTCGATTCCCTGATCAATACAACCGCTATAGGGAATTCCTGGAGCAAAATCGTAAATCACACTGAAGAAAGAGAGTCGGGAAAAGAAATCCATGCTCGGATTAACAAGTAGATATATTTCTAACCTGTAGTGAGCTCGCTCTCAATGACTTGAGAAACCTCGTCCCGCACTTTCTTATGCTTCTTCTTCTTCTTAGTTCCACCAGCCTTGACATCCAAAGCTTTACCCTTCAGCTTCAGCTTCCCACCAACCACATTCTCGAAAGCCGACATCTTCAACATCGACACCACAAGTCATATAAAGGAAATATTCAAGCCAACATAAAAAAAGCCTAATCTCGACATCTAACAACTGATTCAGCCATGATTTGCCACACCAGCATGAACCCAGACTGAGCTTTCCATGAGCAATATGTTCAGGAATGAATTAGGATGATACAAAGGAGATCTCGTCCTCGCACTCGCGTAAACTAGAATAAACCAGAAACACGCCACAGCTACAAATTCCCCCAAATTGTAATGTTGAAACCCTAAAGGCGACCACAATCTACAACGGAGTATCAGACGAAGGAACTACAAAAATGCAGAAGAATCCTACTAAATGGCCAGATGATTTCTTCTATGGTTAGCAACAATTGGCAGAAAGAAACTATGCTCCAAAATTGTACACGGAGCGCAATCAATTTGAGCAGCGGACATTGTACTACTGGAACCGAAAACAGTACAAAGATTCATACTACGCGATCGTGCTCTGGGGATGACGTTCGGCGTACCTGTGATTCAGCAACACGATTCTTGATTAGCTAACTCTTGCATGAAAATCGAAGGCGCTTCTTCTGCTGCTAATTGCAGGATGTGAAAGAGGTGATTGTGTCGTCCTCCGAAGGCCGGAATCTCTTTTCTTTTTCTTTTTGGTTTTAAGGCCGAAGTCTTTCAAGTTGTGAAACCGGTTTATATTTGTACCGGTTTAGTAAGTAATATGATTTGACTAGAACAAGGTTGTCACGGGTCGACTCACTTTGACCATGACTCATTGAGAAAAATGGGCCGCACGTATCCGTCGGGCCGACCGTTACAAGGTACTGGGTTGGAGGTCAAATTGTGTCATTTTTTTCATTGGTTTGCGAAATGCGCCAATTTTCCGATTTTTCTTTTCGCCTAGCTCAATTTTTGGAATGCTAAGTTGAACATTTGAATATTTATGTTATATAAGTGTGTGTGAATTTTCACTATATGTTGGATCTATATATGATATGTTATTTTGGTGTAATATTATATGTTATAACTTATATGTTGGATAAGATTTGATATAATTTATGAGGATAAGTACGATATAATGACTTTTTCCATATTTCTGGGCCAAACCGAACTAAAACGGTTGACCCATTAACCCTTGACCCACTAGCTCGACCGGGTCCGGATCAACCCGCGGGTTGACAACCTTGGACTAGAATATAATCGATTTGTATCAATTTTTGTCGATTGAATAAAATATAAAAAATATAAAAAATCATTAATATTAGAATGAATGTAAACATATATTTAATATATTTAAAGACAATGTACATTCATATTTAAATAAAATACAACATTTCAAACAAAATAACAAATACTCGTATTTAAACAACATTTAATGCTCTCACAAAAAAAATTAATGTTAACATTAAAACATTGACATTTATACGTGAGTCCAACAAATAACATCAACGTTTAACTTTAAAATTCATGAAATAAATCACATATTAATCTTATTTGTTAATTAAATTCCTAAAAAACGTCATTTTGTTTAGATGCCGCACATAGATCATTGTCGGTCATATCAATGATATTCCAATCGACTTCATGACCGACACCAATTATACCAGGTTCGACAATGCTCCACGCCATCGCGTAACAACCATGCTTTCGATACAGAGATACGAATTACCCAGTTTAGTTCGGTCAACTCACCGGACCGAAACATACGCAAAATTATCTCATCTTAACATACCGAAAACTTAGATCGCATTGACGGTCCACCAAAAAACAAAAAAAAGATTATCTATTCAGAACCGAGATCGAAATTGATAAGTAAATTCATTGTATCACAAACTTTTAACTTATACAACTTCCCGTTCGATTTTACAATCCTCGCCAAATAACCGCGATGATTTGCAGCTGCAGAAAATCAAACAACAACAACAACAACAAAAAAGGGCCACACACCTGATTTCACCTCCAATGTTCATCCGCTTATACAACCACATCCCTGACACATTTCAATCTTCTAGTCGCATCCACCATGTTCATCCGTTCACCTGGAGTTTCAGCTGAACAAGCCATCCCAATTTCAAGTACAGAAACTAGACAGCTCTGCATCTTCTCCATCTTCAACCTGCCATAAACCCTTCCCTTCCTCTCCCTTCTCCTCCCTTCTTCCTCCCCATCCATGGCGCGGAAAAGAGCCGGATCTCCCACCAAACCAATCTCGCCAGCAGTCGCAGCAGCCTTGACATAATCACGCAGATTCACACCGTCTCCCAACATTTCATCTGTCGGCCTCTTCCCCGTGAACATCTCCAGGACAAGGATCCCGAAACTGTACACGTCTCCTCGCTTCGACGCCGCGGAACCCATCCCGTACTCTGCACTTTTTTAGTTACCCAAACAACAAAGTACAGGTTGCGTTACAGACTGATCGCGTCGCAGACATTTTCTTCAGACTGCCACTAACAACGAAATCAAAGGAATGAACTAACCTGGAGCAGCGTAGCCAATGGTTCCCTTCGCGCTCGCGCTGCTCCGAGAAAATGTGTCGTCCTCCTCGCTCGAAACGAGCAGCCTCGCCTGGCCGAAATCGCTCACGCGGCCGACCATGTCAGCATCGAGCAGGACGTTGCTCGGCTTCAAATCGCAGTGGACGATCGTCGTCTCGCAGTGGTCGTGGAGGTAGTGCAGTGCCGATCCCACATCGACTGCGATGTCCAGCCTTTGCGCCAGAGTCAGCCTCCTGCAGGTCTCGTGGTGCAGCCAGTCCTCCAGGCTGCCATTCTCCATGTACTCGAACACCAGAGCTTTGAAATCGCTGCCTCCGCGGTCCACGCTGGAGCAGAAAGACACAACCTTCACGAGGTTTCGGTGACGAATGCTCCTCAATGCGTTGCATTCCGCGGCTATGCTCTTGTGAGCTCGATCCTCGTGTCGCAGCAGGTCGAGCACCTTAACCGCTACGGGCGCTTCGATTCGGTCGAGCTTCCCTCTGTAGACTGTACCGAACCCGCCAGAGCCTAGCACATTGTCGGGAGAGAACCCGTTGGTTGCTTTGTGCAGGTCGTAGTAAGAAACCCTCGCGAATTGGTCTATTGCTGGATCCTCGACGACGAGCGATTGCTTCTTCTTGTTTATGTTGTTGTTCATGTAAAGCAGAAGAGAGGCCGACGACGACAACAGGAGGAGAAGGGATAGAGATGCAGAAGCGGCTATGATCGCCAGCCTAACCCTGCGGGTGACTGAATGATGACTAGAAGAAGCTGGCCTCGTCGTCGCGCATTTTGGAAGATGAAGGTCCATAGTTGCGCAAAGCAGAGGATTTCCAATTAAGGAAACCGCGGTGGTATTTCGAAATATCCCTCCACTTGGAACCTCGCAGCGGAGATTATTGTACGAGAGGTTCAGGTACTGGAAATCCTTAACATCCTGCAGCTGTTGTGGGATTTCTCCTGTCAAACTGTTGCAGGAGAGATCCAGTTCCCTGAGACCTTTTATGGAGGCCAACGATGAAGGAATGCTTCCCTGGAATGAGTTCCGTTGCACGAACAGACGCTCGATGCTCTCGCAGTTCTCGATCGCGCTGGGGATTTCGCCCGAAAGGTTGTTGTGAGAGACGTCCATTGTGTTCAAATGAGTCAGCTTCCCTGTTTCGTGAGGTAGCTTCCCGCTCAGCGAGTTGTGGGACAAGTTCAGCAAATTGGCCAGTGAGGAAGATATGTTCATTACCTCCGCGGGTATCTCTCCACTGAGTTTGTTGTGTGAGATGTCGATGGAAGTCAGACTCAGGCAGTTCCCAAGGCTTGCCGGAATCGGTCCTTCGAGTCTGTTCCGCGACAGGTCGAGGTCGAACAGTCGTTTAAGACCCCCTATCGAGTCAGGAATTCGGCCCGAGAACTCGTTCCCTTGTAAGCTCAGAAGCTGCAAATTCTGCAGCTTGCTCAAAAATGAAGAAGGGAGTTGGCCTTGGAGAATGTTGGACTGCAGCTCCAGATCGGTTAGCCCGACCAGGTTCTGCAGCCCTTCGGGTAAAACACCGCTGATTCGGTTGAGCGCAAAGCTCAACCGAGTGAGCCGAGTCGATGAGAGGTTTCCAACAGACCCCGGCAGTTCGCCCCCGAGGTTGTTCATGGAAACCCCTATGCTGTCAAGCTGGCTGCAGTTCGACAACGAAGTCAGGAAATCGAAATCGCCCGTCGAATTGTAGCCGAGATCGTTACCACCGATCTCTAGCGCCAGAAGGCCTCCGGAACTCCCAAGGCAGTTCGGAATCCTGCCCGCGAAACGGTTCATGTTCATGTTGATGTCCACCAGGCGAGAAGCATTGCATAACGACTCGGGGATCGACCCGACCAGATCGTTCTCCGAGACCGCAAAGTAGCCTATGTCTCTCAAGGTGAAGCCTATGTTCTCAGGCAGCCTGCCTTCCAGCTTGTTGAAAGTAAATGTCATGATGTGGATTGTGGAGAGATTGTACAGAGACGGTGGAATTTCACCAGAGAGTTGGTTAATGCCAGCTGCAATTATGCTCAGCTTCGAGAGTCGACCGAAGCTCTCAGGAATTCGTCCCACCAGGTTGTTGTACGCAGCACCGAAGTTGACAAGCTGAGACAGATTTCCCAGGGAAGCCGGGAGAGATCCCGTCAGATTGTTCTGCCCGATCCTGAGGATCTCGAGCTTCGATAGCGAGCCAAGTTGTACCGGGATCTTGCCCCGTAGCTTGTTGGAGGAGAGCATCAGGATCCGGAGCTTCGAGCAGCGGCTTAAGTTGGCTGGAATCGGACCGGTGAACGAGTTGCCCGTGGCGTTGAAGTGCTGGAGCAGAACCAGGTTGCCTAGCTGTGGTGGGATTCGGCCATGGAAGGTGTTGTTCTCGATGTTGATGAACCTGAGGAAGCTGAGGTTGCCGACCTGTGGAGGCAGAGTACCGACCAGATCGAGCTCCGACAGGTCGAGGGATGTGACCCTCTCGTCGCTTCCATGGCGGCTGCATTGGACGCCAGGCCAGCTGCAGAAATGGAGGGAGTCGTTCCAGGAGCTGAAAAATCCATCTGGGTCGTTGGTTGTGCAGTTCTTGATTTGCAGCAACGCGATTCGATCGGTGTCGTTATTGCAGGAAACCTCGTGGGGTTGGCTTGTGAAGAGCAAGTTGAGTGTGAGGAACAAGGTGAACTTGATCAATACAAGGCTGATTGGAGTCGCCATGGGAGCTTTGTTTGTGAAACTGCACAATGTCTCGGATGTTGCAGAGAGAACAGAGCTGCTTTCCTTGCCATATATATTGCGATGTTTAAAGCGTGGATCATGATTGATAATGTTATGTCCTAGCAGAAGTCAAAGTTGCCAAAATTTTTTATTTTGATGCATTGATCATGGCGATTGTGTATTGGTCCGGCATACTTAAAAGTCTTAAAGCTTTGAAATTGTGCGTGGAATGGAATGACCGGAATTAGGACATTGATTGAAACTAGTAAGGAAGCCCGCGCTACGCGACGGGGAAAGACGAATGGAAAATGGTCTTTGAGATGTTCAAGTCTGACTTAGTTTTGATCCCACGATGAAACTAAATAGGCTACAAAAGACACCATGGGGCCTTCAAAGAACAATGGAAAATGGTCTTTGAGATGTTCAAGTCTGACTTAGTTTTGATCCCACGATGAAACTAAATAGCCTACAAAAGACACCATGGGGCCTTCAAAGAACAATAACATAAGTAGGGTACAAAAAAGATGATGTGTGCATTGGTCTTTCCCCATCTCTTTAAGAAAGTGAAAATGATATGCAAGTATCCAACTAATTGAACAAAATTCAGAAAATAGAGGGGATAGAATCCAAACCCACCAGATGGATTGTGTGTTCACTTCACAAAATTCAGAATGGGCAATCTGTGAAACACCTGGATGTAAAACCACTGCGATTATGATGTTATAAGACAAAAAAATGAACCATCGAGGGTAATACGGAATCATTAGCTTGGTCTCGAGCTCGTAAAGGCTACACATAAAATATGTCAATGTTGATATACTAAGGTTCAAAAATGTTGTTTCCAATTCCAATACAGATGTCAGTAACTACGACACTTAACTAAATATCTCTTGAGCTTTTCTTAACCTTTAACCCGTTGGATGGTATCGAGCTATGACCAAATGCCGATTCTGCTACTTAAAAGAAAGAGGTATCAGGACGACAATATATTTAGGAAAGCTGGTGTAAATAAATTGAGTTAAGAAATTAGAATTGTTTCTGCAAGTGCATAAAAGAGAAAGAACGGGGCTGAAAATACTCTTTTCCTTTTCTTTTTCTGGTCTGCATCCTTGGGTGCTGCTGTTTGCTGTGGGAGAGACCCGTTTCGGTTTCTGTTCCGCATCTTTGGATGCTGCTGTTTGCTGAGTCTTTGTTATTGGTTTTATTTAGCTTCTGCAGCTGGTGGGACTTGGATATCTCAGTTTGGGATCTGTCTTGTGCTTGTTGTATGTTAGTTTTTTTTGTTTTCTTAATAAAATGATGTCACCATTATAAAAAAAAACACTCTTAAGGATTTGCAAATAAGTCAAATTGCACTCACTGGCGGATAGCAAGAACAATCACTTGAAACCAATAGCAAATCTGTGACCACAAACTTCATATATAAAGACATCAATCAAATACATACAGCCATCTAGACCTCTGAGGAATGTGGAAAGGAACCCCTCTTAAGCAGCATATAAAAGTACAAATTCATATCCCAACCATTTGCAGGGACCGCTCCATGCAAGTGCAACTCTTAACTACTTGATCATGAATGTACGAACTAACTAATAAAGAGGCAGGAACATTGAACCAATGAAGCATTTCGATCCAAAAGCTGACACTCACAAAGACATAAAGTTTGCTGCAATGGGAAAATTGAAGGTATAAGTTCCCTCGTTATCAAGCAGTATGGAAACTTCCCTGATAACTGCAACAGATGAAAAATACGGGATTATACAGTTAATTGTAAGAATGTGATTTGATGACAACAAACAGTGAGCATAAAGGGAACTGATAAAGCATTTCACAATCTTAGCACCTCGCTTATGGCATCAACATTTACAACTTCTGAAGGCCATTATATACAAACTCCAGAATTCATGAGAAGTAAATAAACGCTAACCTTGTAACATAACCCCAAATTACCAGTGAGAATGAAGGAAATTAAAATATAAAAAGGAAACTCTTCTGGAAACTGAGACAAAACGGTAGTGGCTGGAAGTGCTTTCTTGCTGTGGTTCTCCTGCGCCATGTTGACTTGTGGTTAACTGACTCACAGTCACGAAGCAATAAATTTAAACTTAGCAATAAGAAACAAAGATTTGCCAAAGCAAGAAATTAAAACACACTAATGGTTGAGAGTGCAGAGAGAGGAAAAACAAAGATTGAATAACAACTGAGTAAAGAAAGTAGACAAAGCAAGAAAATCCAAATCCAAATTTCCCAAAAAGGGAAAAACCACTTGGTTTCTAAGTGTTGAAGCAAGAGGGAAATAAATCCAAACCAAAGGTCCAAACCCAAAACAAATTTCCTAACCAGCAATTACCAATAACTCAAACATAGAGAAATAAACAACTGTAAGCTACAGAGCTGAGTGGTTTAAGCTAATAAAACTCACCTGCCTCGAACATCGCAAGTCCCTCCTATGCAGGCTTGTTGGGACACCGAAATTGTGCTAAAATTGCAGGACCTGGACGTTTGGGTGAGTGGCGCCCTTTCAGAAGATTATTTGCAAGGAAATTTGTCTCACTTGGCTGGTAAATGATCCCTACAAATGGCTTCCTCTCAACCTAACATTACTAATCTTCGGAGACCATTTTCTATTCTCTTTGTTCCCTGGGTCTTACATTGTTCTATTGGTGTTTTCACGTCCAAATTGCAATTCTTATAAACAACTATATTTGCATAGTTTTGTAAATTTCATCCTAAATAAGCAATGCACTTTGTCATTATTAAAGCAAAATCACAACCCTATTTTGGTTAATTAAGCCATAATGCAATAAAAGTAAGAGCAGAAACAACTATTTGTAAGTTAACAAATTCTGGTATGAATACAAGCTTACTTTGTTTAATCCTAGTATGTCTTCTTTTTCTAGAACGGTTAATTGTATTCGAGATTGCCATATTTATAAAGCTATTTTCAACATCAAAGACTGCGTTCAAGTAATTTGCCGAAGCTAGGAAAAACAATTGCTAATCCGAATTCTTAAACTCCAAACTAATTAGTGAATTACCTAAATTCAGACCAGTCAATAAGCAACATAATGCTATCACACAACACAAAAAACTGAGTCACAAAGCATATAAATAAACATTATAAGTTTGAAGGTCCAAAACTCTTTCAACTCAGAAGCAATTGATCTAAAACCAGCTCAGATGATACCAACGAATAGTGAATATGCCTCACTGTACTTGGAACTATAAACTATATAATAGTTATAAACTAAAAAAAACTAACTATAACACAGCAGAACCTAGAACCCCTACAGCGAGAACTGGCATTCTGAAGTGAAAATTTGAAAACAGAATACAAAATTCCCATGCAAAGAATATCAAATGGCAGATAACTAAAGCAAAATTAGGAAGAATTGGCAATACTTGCATGAATTCAAGCTTGATTACTATCCTAACTAACCTCATATTGTACCTAGAGGGAAACGTATTTTCAAACAGGAAAGTGTTACTGAGCTAACCAGCACAATTAAGGAATAATTTTAATCTATACAACATCAACCTTCGGTAGCTGATATTTACAATGATTAAAGTTAAGCACTGTGGCGCACTAATGCACCGAAAGGTCTTCTCTCCTCTCCTTTGTAGGTAATGTTTAATTACTTTATGTCGCATGGTCATGCAATTACGTTGTGTGTGCTTCTCCAATAGTTATTTGTGAAAGACTATTCAAAGTGAGGCCACTGCAACATGGCTTCTCATATATTGTGATTGAATGATGTGGATAACTAAAAGAAACTATTATGAGTAAGAAGAGAAGAAACTGAACAAAGAAAATGAAGCTCATCACTTACTTGTTGCTTTCAATCTGACAAAGTCAAGTTCCCATCGAAACCAGCAGTGTTCTTCCAAGGGCGCAATGTTTAGCTTTCATTGTATTAACAATAGTTACAGATCGTCACCTATTGGTACAAAAAAAATGAAACACTAAATTGAGAACCCATACCGGCAAACAAAGTAACAAAAAAATCCGTATTAAAAGGAGCAGACAAATTAAGCTAAAATACCCAGCAACTTGCCTGTCAGCTTACAAAGATGTTATGTTCATATTTAACGGCAAGTATCTTATTCTGAATTGCAAAATAATGTACAGTTAATGTTTTAGCTCTGGATTGCCAAATCGAACCTAAGGAACTTGTATTTCCTAGTAACGCACTAAGAAATAGAACACAAAAGTACAGTAAGCCAACAATCCCTCTAAAACTATTTTCTAGTTGCAGATAAAGTAATTGAAACTGCTTAGCAGCTGACGATATAGAGAGAAGAGAAATACAACATAAAATGAGAGTACACGAAAAGCAGGAACATAATATACACCATTGTTTACCTGATAGTTCTTGATCTCACTAAGCTCGAAGTGACAACCTAAGAATCAGGCCAAGCACCAAAATCAGGCATTGGAGAGCATATACAAAGCTTTCCAGTTGACAGCAGTTATAAGGTATAACATATCAGGAAATTACAGTTTACAAAAAACAGCAAGTAAGAAGCAACAGGTAAATCATTCAACTGAAGGAGACGATCCGACCTGTCAACGATAATGATTGAAATTTCTAGCCAGGTAAAGGATCCTTCCCTGGACACTTTCATGGATGCATATCAGATATCTACCTCGTCAACATCATTCTGGGGCGAATGAAATACTGTAAAAAAAATACCATACAGAGCTCACATATGAGAAATTCAATAACCTGTGTATCCACCCTAACCTCTACAATGGATATAACTTCGGAAGGTTGGTCATTAATATGCCCATTTATTCGAAATACCCATCGAATTCATTCAGAACACCAATCGAATCTACTTACAAATCCAAACAAACTGAACCTTTCGTGTCTCAATAAGATGAACACTCCAGTGTTAGCTTGTTCACTCATAACTCATAAGGCATACGAAAATAACGAAATTATGGGTAGGCTATCACACAAAAGGCTTAGGGAACATCCACAACACTTCACAACAGG